GTCCTAGGGGGTCCGGGGCATTCCCCCGCGAAATTGTTGTGTTCTAGACGCCCGAAAATAACATTTGAGGCGTTGTGGGCTATCATTTTTTTCTTTTTCTTTCTTTTTTTCTTTTTTTTCTCTTTTTTTTAACCTCCCAAAAGTGGGGGGGCCGGGGCCGGGCCGGCCTCCCCCCCCCCTAAATCCGCCCCTGGAGGTTTTTAAACAAACAGCTAGGGCCCGGGGCAGGTTGTCTTGGCCCTAGTAGTAGTAGAAGTAGGCGTACACTATGGAAATTCATGAAATTTTCTATAAATTTTGCAGACATTGACATGGGAAATTGGAACTGCAATCACAGAAAGGGAATTTGTAAATATTACACTTATTGACTACAGTAGATTGTTCAGCAACAAGTAAGAATTTTGTTATCATTTAGAAATTTGTGTTATTACAGGTGTGTCAATTATATTATGTGGTGCCAAGTGTAAATTTATTATTTAACAATTATTTATATATAATTCATTATTTAACATATAATTGAATAGATCACACATTATTTATATATAATGAATTTACGATTGCATAATAAGATTATATGTAAATAATTACGTTAACGTTTTCATTATTTATATATAATTAGTTTACTGATTTCATTATATATAAATAATGAAAGGGTAACCAAACATTATTTATATATAATAAGGTTACTGGTTTCATTATATATAAATAAAGAAGGGTAACACATTATTATATATAAATAATGAAAAGTAAGAAACCATTATTTAGATATAATGACCTTGACACGATAACATGTGTGCATTATATACATATAATGAGTTTGAAGTCCAAGCATTATATACGTATAATGGTTTTTGCGACAGCTATTATTTATATATAATGAAATGTAAAAGCAGTTATTTATATGTTAATGAGGTTGAAGTCAATTCGTTATTTATATATAATGAAATCAGTGAACTTATTATATATAAATAATTGTAAGTTACTTTTCATTATTTATATATAATGATTTGTTACCTTTTCATTATTTATATATAAGAGAATCAGTGAACTTATTATAAATAAATGTAAGTTACTTTTCATTATTTATATAGAATGATATGTTACCCTTTCCTTATTTATATAAAATGAAACCAGTAACCTTATTATATATAAATAATGTTTGGTTACCCTTTCATTATTCATATATGATGAAATCAGTAAACTAATTATATATAAATAATGAAAATGTTAACATAATTATTTACATATAATCTTTTAGACATAAATGCATTATATATAAATAATGTGTGATCTATTCAATTATATGTTAAATAATGAGTTATATATAAATAATTGTGTTAAATAATAAATTTACACTTGGCGCCTCATATGGCATTGTGTTATTAAATATGTGTACAGTATGCAAAATCATATTTAAATGTGTTTATATACAGGATCATCATATTTAAATGTCATTGAATAATCATATTTAAATATGTGTCATTTTGTGTGCAGATTCATCAGTTGTCATTTTGTATTCAGGGGTGATATTTAAATATATGTTTCACTGTGCAGGTTCATATTTAATATCATTTTATATGCAGGGACATTTTATGTGTGAAATATGTATAGATGTGACATATTTAAATATGTGACATTCGTATGCCGGTGGTCGCTTATGTTTGATATTCTAATGCAGATTATCATATTTAAAATATATTTTATGTATGCATTTGTACAGTAGTTAAAATAGTTGATACATTGTATGCAGTGTGTCATATTTAAATACTGATAATTAAACACAAAAAATAATCACATTACTGATTGCCTTTATATGATTATACCTTCAGACCCGTTGGAAGTTTTCAGTTATATTTACAAGAACTAATCGTTACTGGCAAACTCGAAATCAATGAGCCACTTCTTGACAATAACAATCGGCAACTCAAGGTAATTCATGACCTTACTTGTTTCTATATGGATTATTCCATATAATAGAGAATTGTCTATGATTATTCATAGGCTTAGTCGATTGTCTGCTAACTTAGAATTTCAATTTTCATAGATTTCTGTGCTTCTTGACCTGAACTATGTCCATCCAGAAGGTCTTGTGGGTGATTGGTCAGACTTGCGGAGCTCCTATTACCATGCCCATTCCATGGATGAGGTGCTCCTGGAAAAGGAATTCTTTGAATCTTCAACACCATCTACACCAACCGAAAAAAGGTAGGACTAAATTGTTTCTGACATTTTAAACTTCAATAGCATTGTCATGGAGATATGAACCAACAAGCAGAATAACAAGATAGTGTGGGCTGTGGGTGAGTTCCAGATGGAGCTAAATACAAGTGGAAATTTGGGTCATAGGTAAAATTTGGCAAAAAAACAAAATGAAACATTTAGTTTTTGAGGGATTGAGTTTATGCGAACTGGAATAGAAATGAAGCAGATCCAAAGGAAGTTAACATGTTGACTGCCGGACCTTTTTTTAAGGTTCTTTTTCCGTGTACTAAAACAAGTGTACATGTACAAACATACTTTAAAAAAATTTTATCTAGTCATATGTCATCAAAATGATGTGTCTAATAAATTGGCAGGAAAATAATACGGGACAAGTAAACTCGTCGGCAGCACCGTGACAGCACTTTTTTGAGTGCACTGCTGGCAGCATAACACAACAAGCATACATACGTCATTTGTACGTTATCTTCTATGTGTTTCTTAACCGAACTACCAGCCGTTAAGTCTGTGGTAATATAATGTATAAGAAAGAAGTAATGCTAGAATGTTACCCCGATTTTGAGGAGTATAGTCTTCCCAGGCGCCCTCAGTAACACCCGGCGGGACGAGTATACTCGTCACTGGCAGCCAACGTGTTAAAATGCCTGGATCAATCCAGAGACTTGTATAACTGATTTAATTATACTACCATAACAAGTGCATTGTTTAATAGGAAGAAGAGGAGGAGGAAGAAGAAAGGTAATGATGCCACTGAGGAAGATGATCAGTCATTTGTAGATGATGACAGCAAAGGTAAGAAATTATTCACCTGAATTAATACTGATTTTCCAAAGTACGAACAATGATTTTGATAATTGTCCAAATAATGGACTTATGTACAAAGAAAAACTTTTCTTTCCAGCCATTGAAGAAGAAAGTACTTTGACGGATGATTACACATTTGAAAGTATGCAGGATTTGACAAGACAAGGAGATGCTGGCATGGAACTGAATACATTACCGACACAGAAAAAAGATTATCAGGCAATTTCATTCAACTTGATCCTCCCACATGCTAATACATGATCTATCAAAGTTCACATGAATGTCTCATAAGTTCACATTAGTAGACATTGTTCACATAAATTTGTTTACATGACACATGATAGAATATGTTACATTATCCTCTTACATCCTCACATGATAATCAAAACAGTTCACATGATTGTCCCATATGTTCACATGACAGCTATAGCTACGGTCACAGTAGAGTTTCAAGCCTGGCTTGACTCACCGCGGGTGAGATTTTCGTAATGTGACCGCACCTGCACCGATCTCAATCTACCTATCTCGATCCCGGCTCAGCACCCATATTGACCCTGGATTGACCCTGGCGTGACCGAGATTGACATTTCCTCGTCGGCTGTCGACCAATCACAGTTGATGACGCCGTTGCGTTTAGAAGTTCTTGAATTAAAAACCCACGAGTTCTTCATGTGTGTTCAATCAAGACGCAGTCATTACTTTTCATAAAAGTTAATTCAAATTTTAATTAATACCGTAATAATGCGATTGATTTGGAGCGACCAGAAAACTGCTGACCTGGTAGATTTGTGGGGCCAACCCGAGCTGAGAGACCGGATAGACAACAAAACGGGAATTTTTGGCGTGCTTGCTGACAGATTAGCCAGTCTCGAACATGAGAAGAGAACGACGGCCCAAATTCAAACAAAAGTGGAGGCATTGCGAGCCCATACAAGCTGATAAAAGATCAGTTGAAGAAGAGTGGTTCGGGCACGTCTGGTGTAAAATCTTTGATTGCGATCCACCTAATCACACGCGCGTATATCGAATTCCGTGAAACAGTTGGCGAAACTCTCTCTTTACGGCTCTGCTGTTTCGACTTTCATAATTTAGAGGTCAATCCAACTAGTGTGACCGACCCAGAATTTCGAGCCTGCTTTGAAATCTCACCCGCGGTGAGTCAAGCCAGGCTTGAGACGCTAGTGTGACCGTAGCCTATGTTAGGTCACATGTTAATATTATTACAGACTTGATATGTCAAATGATCATCCCTGTTTACTTGACACACATGATTGTCCCACATGTTGTTCACATGACATGTCACATGATTGTTCTCTTTGTTCACATGACAGCAATGATAGGTCACATGATTATCCCACACAAAAAGTTATGTTTGTTTTGTTTATGGAATGAAATGAGAATTGAAAAATAAAAAGTAGGGCTATTGTAAATTTTAAACACATTTTCATTTGTTAACCAGATCTCGGTGCATATCATTGAGGCTCGTCAGATTGCTGGCTCAGAGGTCTTTCCAATCGTGTCAGTTCAAGTGGGAAACATCACTAAGTTCACACAAATGAAGGAATCAACCAACACTCCCTTCTATGATGAGGTATACCTTGAATAATAGTATTGTAAGGCTAAAATTAATACCTCATATTCTCACGTATAAGACGAAGCTTAAAATAGCAATTAAATGAAGCTACTGACCATTAGTATGAACGATAAGATTTTGATGAACAATTTTGATCAACAATTTTGATCAACAACAAAAAGTCCATAAAATGGTAATATTTGGAAGATTGGCCCTACATTTGGCTCCATTTTTAGCAAGCTAGATGCATTTTCAAGACTATAAAAAACAGCAAAAAGTAGGAATTCTTACGACGAAATGGGTGGGGGGTGTTGTATATGCCCAACATACAAAAATCGTCCAAGAATCTTCTCAAACCCAGGGGTCTTATATGTGGATTGCCATAGACATGAGTATATATTATGGTAGTAAAAATGATATAGTAAAAAATGAAAATAATAGTAAGACTAGAGTAAAAGATGATGAGAATATATAATAGCAGTAATATGATCCTAAAAATTTAGTATAGTAATAATAGTAATTAATTATATATAATGCTTTTCAAAAATACATCAAATTATGGTTATTGTGAACATAATTAATACTAATTTTTTTTCCTGTAGCTTTTTGTATATGATTTCCATGACTATGAGTCTGCGATTTTTGACAAGGTCATAACATTCAAGGTATGTTATTTGCATTATCCAATCATTTTTCATTATGACACTGTGGCATCAACTATTATATTAATGTATCTAGATTATAAATGTACATTTTATGACTGGTCTTGAAGGACAAATATTAGTTTGTGAAAATAACTGTAGCAAGATAAGATAGGCAGCATTTTACAAACCACCAGGTTTATTGATGCATTGGGCTAGCTATATTTTTATCATTTAATGCTTAGGCTAGACTTTTTTTATACATTGTTTTGCGATCTTATTTTTTAAAGATCGTCAGAGGAGAGCAGAAAAAAAATAAAATTAAAATTTTGTTTACTTATTTAGCAAATAGTTTTGCCAAAAACGTCCAGATTGAGGAGAAAATAAAAATTAAATTTTATTGGTGAATGTAAGCAGTGTAGTAATGAGATGGTTAAATGCTTTAAATTTATTTTATATACAGTCAAACTCACCGAATCTAAAGTGCCACTGAAATATGGTTCGATTAAATTTGACGAAATCAAAGTCAAATTTTATTCGAGTTATATCACAATAGCAACTTGATTTGGAGAGTTAGGCCTTACGGAGACCGGAACAAATTAACACGCACTGACAGTACACGCACGATGTTGACCGCACATTTGGCCTAGTACTGTAAAAGTAAAGGCCTAGGCTACCTAAACTTACCTTGAAAGCAGTATTCTTCAGAGTAACAATACATTGCATTACTTCTTCAATTATTACCGTATATTTAAATGTTTTGTTAACTGCTTCTATGTCATTCTTTCGAATACAGTATAAAGAGGAATCAGTCAACACTTAAAGCTTAATCATATTTATATTTGATAAACTAACATTTAATAACTGATTTTTCATGGCCATCAAGCGAACACATTTTAAATACGATAAATTTGGTTGGAAAACCCCAAAGACCAAACCAGTATTAATCATAAATAAACCAGATGTGTATACCCCGCCGCAAAATGGACAAAAATCACCCACTACTCTTGCAAACTTCTCGCTGTAGCGCGGGGAGAGCAGGCAATGCTCTGCAGATAGTATGTATGCAACGAAGATCGGGATGAAGATAAAACTAGCATATTTGTTTTATATGACTGGTTATTCCCTAAACCTAAATTCCATAAGACATTTATTTTACAATTACTGTATGTATGTTACAATACAGTTTAATTTACTATACAGTATACAGTTAAAAAAGAATTGACAAACCTGAAACAGTGCATAAACATTAGTCGCTTGTTGAATTTACCACATGTCTGAACGATAGTGAGGAATGCGAGTTGAGTCGCATGTAAAATAAACTACACAAAGTACGGCTATGCAATGTAAACACGAGTCGCTTGTCGGGCTTACTTAGTGTGTGAATTTCTGCATTGCCAAATGTATGAGTCACTTGTTGACGTTGGTAAAGCGGCGAAAGCTTAAAATGATTGAAGTTTTACAACAAGATTTTGACTTCGACTTACGGACTAACAATTAACGGAAAACGGATCAATTTGGCATATAAATTCAATTTTTGTTTTATTTGACTTAAATTTATTCCAGTTAGAGCAAATATTAACCATTGTAAATATAGTGAAGAAGATGAAGTGACATGAAAATAATTTTGACTTTGACAATTTTTCAACTTAGGCACATTCGACTTAGGCAATTTTGACTGTAATTAGGAAGAAATATACATATCTTATTTTTAGAGGTTTCAAGGCAGCCTGCAGGCATAATTTAAAAAACAGAACTTTTATTTTTTTCTGTAATTTCAATTTTTTCATGGTGGCAGATGGACTAATTGGCCAAAAATTTTATTTTTATTTGAAATCATCATTATTAGCGGGCAGTGGGTTCGCTAAGCAAGGTATAAAAAAGTCTTGCCTTTATATAAATGTAAACATCGTACAGGTATGACCTCTATCCTATAATTAGCTGTGCTTTATCACATCTCATGCTCAGTTTTATTCAAACATACTGTAGGCCTATCCTTTCTTTCTGATTGGTTTTTTTTTTCCCTTAGGTGCTGAATTGTAGCAACAAGTATCTGAAAACTGGTAAAACAATTGGTTTTTATAAACTGGATGCTGGCACAGTTTATGATGAACCAGGTGAGGAAAGCTCTGTCCAGACTATCCAGCTTTATCTGACAAAAATCATGTGATATGCCTAAATATGGTCATGATGACATCACACCATAACCATATATAGGCACACTATGACTATATATGGGCATGCAACAGTTTTTTGGTCAAATTTTAATTTGATAGCTCTAGACAGGGCTTAAGAGTAAATGGGCATTGTTGTATTTTATTTATTTAATTTTAATTTTTAAAATGATATAATTTGAGGGCGCTGTTTATATCTTTACTTTATGTATTTATAACCTAATGTAGTTGGGAAAGTAATGGTGTAGTTTTTCAATTTTTGTGTATATATAGTATATTTATCTAAGTATGTTGTATTATGCATGTAGTTTGCTTTTGGTATTTGCTGTATGTATGTATGTGTATGCATGTATGTGTGTTTGATTTATTCAGTATCTAAACTTGTATATATATATATTTGTAAATTCATGTTTCAAGTAGTTTTTGAATGCACCGTCAAAGTGACATGTGCCACTGATACAAAAGTGTATGTTCAAATAAATTATTATTATTATTATTATTAACTGTAAGTAATTTATTAGCTTTTAAAACAGGAAAATATTTAAGCCTTTGGTCCTGTGTGCAATATGACCCATGTGCATGTTAAAAAATGTTGAAAATAGGTTAAGGTATTGTGTCCTGGTATACTGTTTGATTCATCACCAGAAAAAACCCACTGGAAATAAGTCTTGGACTTGCGGCAAAGAGTGTAGAATTGCAAGCTGTCCGACTACCCTGATTTTATATGCACACAATGAAACATTAAAATAGAAATACTACCACGAAGGACGCCCTCAGGTTCATGGTAGTACTTTTTGAATATGATTACGTTCCAATGAAACCCCAGGGATCAGACCTCTTTGCTTGTGGGTAGTTCTTGGTGTGTTTTTTACACTAAAGAAATGCAATCCAATCTGAATTTGCAGTTGAAATTAATATCTGATGTGCTATCGTAATTTTAATCCCGAAGATCATGGCTTCTATAATAAATGGATAATCCTGCTAGACTCCAAGGATATCAACGGCACAGAGAAAGGTTACTTGAAGGTGAATTTGTCAATTTTGGGACCAGGTGACCCGGTCAAGTTACAGAGTCACGATGTTGGCGAACATGAGGAGGAAGACATCGAAGCGTAAGAAATTTCCTTAAGCTCCCTCTACAGTATCAAGTTTTAAAACCATTATTTTCATGAGTAATGTGATTAAACAGAGCATGAAATAAAAATTAATTATTTGAATTAAATTTTCTTCAGTAACCTTCTGGTACCTATGAACACTCCAGCAACGAGGCAAGTTGCCCTTTACACTGTCAAGATTTACCGTGCAGAAGGCTTGCCGGTGATGGCCTCGGACATCTTAGCAAATGTTAAAAAAGTTTTCACTGGACAGTTCAGCGACCTTGTTGATTCTTTTGTTGAGGTCACATTTGCAGGTCAAATGGTAAGAGAATAGAAATTTAATTCTATATATATATATTTTATATATATATATATATATATAATATATATATATATATATATATAATGTCCATCACCCATTGAGCAGTTCATTCATCATTCCATCCAACCATTCATCCATCCATCCATCCAACCAACCATCCATTTATCCAACCAGTCATCCATCCATCCATCCATTCAACCATTAATCCATCTATCCATCCATTGATCCATTTAGGCTACTTTCTCAGTTATTGGAGTGAAAGCCATGAATAACATTCTACTGGTTTTTCTTACTACAGAAACGTACATCTGTGAAGAAGCATTCATATGAGCCTGACTGGAATCAAGAGATAGTATTTGTTGACCTCTTTCCTCCACTCTGTAAGCGAATAAAGGTCCAAGTTCGTGACAAATACAGCATCGTAGATGATGTAATTGGCACACATTACATTGACTTAACCAAAGTCTCTTGGTCAGACGGTAAAGGTTTGTATGAAGTATAATAATAAAGATCACATCTAGATGTGTATAAGAGACAGTATATATATAATGTCCATCACCCATTGAGCAGTTCATTCATCATTCCATCCAACCATTCATCCATCCATCCATCCAACCAACCATCCATTTATCCAACCAGTCATCCATCCATCCATCCATTCAACCATTAATCCATCTATCCATCCATTGATCCATTTAGGCTACTTTCTCAGTTATTAGAGTGAAAGCCATGAATAACATTCTACTGGTTTTTCTTACTACAGAAACGTACATCTGTGAAGAAGCATTCATATGAGCCTGACTGGAATCAAGAGATTGTATTTGTTGACCTCTTTCCTCCACTCTGTAAGCGAATAAAGGTCCAAGTTCGTGACAAATACAGCATCGTAGATGATGTAATTGGCACACATTACATTGACTTAACCAAAGTCTCTTGGTCAGATGGTAAAGGTTTGTATGAAGTATAATAATAAAGATTTTATGTTATTAATAATAACTTTTTCTGAAAAATGTGTTGTCCCTCATCAGGTTTGAACCCAAGACCCACTGATTACCTTCGGCTACTCTACTAAATTATCTATGAGGCCAAGTGGTATACGCTCTGGGATTTTCAAATTAGGGCATCTTTTTCGAAAGGTATTGCATAACATGCAATGAATTTAATAAAAAAACATGATAGTAACTTTGGCATGGAGATACACCTCCATTAATAGTAATAAAGTGTTTAGCCACTTAGAAGATCTAGCCTTCCTGGGATTCAAGATCTTTTGATGTTACTGCTTTTGTACTCTAATGGATATATTTCTGTCCTCTATTTTGGTATGTATTATTTAAGTTAATTATATAATTAGAGGCATAATCTAACTATATTTCTTTTAAATTTATAGGGTTTTTACCAATGTTTGGTCCCTCATGGATCAACATGTATGGGTCAACAAGAGGCTTCAATATGTTCGACACAAACTTCCAGTTGAATGACAGTGAAATGGAAGGGTGTATGTATAGAGGGCGCTTGCTGCTCGCAATGAAGTGTGAAATGGGAAACCCCAACACCGCGAGTGCTGTAAGAGTTGATGTCTCACCGACACTTCAGATTTCTGAGGTGAGTTCATTTTATTATTGATGGTTTGCCCAAGATGCATGAGACACATGTTAACCACCAAGCAAGTCTACCCCATATGCCAATAAATTTCCATCAACTGTAGTGAAACACGAAAAAATATACAGTTTATTTTTAGCTCATCATTTCTGGGTCCTTCCCTGAACCTTCAGGCCAAAGTTTGTGTTCTGGCGACCACTGCCAGCGAGTTTAAGTGCAACAAAATAAAGATATTTTGGATAGCTCTGCACGCCAACTCGCATCCTTGGAACCCAGAGTAAACCGTGTTGGACGTGAGCTCGTTAAAAATGAATCGTTGTGATTTCACCATACCTGTAGCAGGAGAATTGTACACCTTTCGATATCTTTAGCCCTAAAAATCATATTGTTATTGTATGAAGTTCTTTGATGTTTGATTGGCTGATTTCAGAATGCTGCCGGTAGAAACGAGGATTTCTGTTTCTTTGGATGTGTTTTTGATGCATCTATGATTGATATGGGTGTGTTTGGTAACTACTTTGAGAGACGACAAAATGACGGCAACATCAGTTTTGAATTCACTATTGGTGAGTAGATGTTGTTCATTCATAGTTCAAATAACACTAAAACAGTTATAACTTCATTGGATTTCACTGGTATGGTGTATTTCTCAGTTTTGTTGGGTTTACTATTACCTATTGAGCCATTCTTTCATTTATCTATCCAACCAACCATCTATTCATCTATTCAGAAATATAAATTATATTATAATTTTCATTTATTTTAGGAAACTATGGAAATACAATCGACGGCAAAAACATTCATGTCTTGCCGAGCATGGAACCAGACGAAGAGACAGGGCTTTTACAGCGAATTCAAATTGATGAGAACTGTAACTCAATGACACAGCCAATGGCACCTATACGTATATCTCAGGGGTACTGTTACATGCCGTATGGTGAGTTTAAGCAGTGCGTGTCCTTGAGATTTTCTACGGAAGATCATCGGCGCCGATTTCTTGACGAGAACATTTTACAAGGCATTGCCGATGAACTTGTGAGTATTAATGCTTTCAGACATGTTTTGTTAAGGGCTAAGACAATACAATTAGTTGTCATTTTGAAGGGTTCTAAGTCTTCAGTAAGTCGCAGGAGTCTCCCAGAAATTGTGACAGTCTTCTGCACTTCTGCAAGCAAGATGTACCGGAAAAAACTAATCTCCTGCAAATTCATAATATTTGCATGTTTTTACTACTTTTATCATCATTTGTCTCATAGAAGTCAAGGCGATGGGTATCACCATTCACAGCAAAATATTTAGATGTGTTAAGAAATATCATTTAACCAGTTCTCCCAGAAGAGTTTTCAAACCCCTGTATATTTTATTTAAGAACTTGATGAGGTTCCTCTGAGAATTGGAATAAGAAATGTATCCCTTTCCAATTAACAGGTACATAAATGTTACCTATCCATTTTATTTTTTTACAAAAGCATTCAAATTTCTAGTAATAAATTTAAGGATGATTTTGAAATGGGGGTGCTCATGGGTAAGTGAAGTGGCACTTGTTGGAATAAGTATGAAATGATTTTTGAACTATTTGAGAGTAATTTTTTTGGCCAGCAGCTTTTCAATGCAGGGGAACATGGGGATGGAAGCTTTTGGAGTCCATTTCCCGCAGCACCCACTTCCTTACTTACGCCACTACCTCAATTAGAGCAATACTATAATTCTTTTTTACTTTCAGACTGCTTATACATACTTGTTTCAACATATAAAAATGATACAAAATATCATCAATCACTGACTCAAAAATATTTCAAATCATTTTTCAGGAAAAAGATTTAAGTAACTGCATGTTTCTCCAATCTGCTGAGCATGAAGATGCTTTGAAATGTTTCAAGAAAATGGTTATTGATATTTACAAAAAACTGCAGTAAGTTAAGATTTAAGTTTGTCTTAAAAAATGGCTTTGATTGCTGCAGGTCATTTCATAAATGACCAATAATAATTATTTTCATTCATTCATTTTGAAAACTTTTACATTTATTTTTGCAGTGAATATGAAGGACACATGAAATCTACTGATTCAGCAAAACTACCAAACAAAAATAAACTTGACAAGAGCATTTACAAGATGACCATAGAAAAAGTGGTAAAAATGTGTCCAGTATCATTAGCATATCATCCTATAAGAAAGCATTCATCATACTTGGCTGCTGCCCTCCCTGTTTGTCAAATGTTTGGAGTGTTCCATTTAGTAATGGGTGTTTTTCTCAGTTGAATAGCTATTAAATAATGAGGTGCCATGTGTTCTTATTATTTAGCAAAAATTGACATTTTTTTTAACATTATATATTTATATAAAATTTTATATAATATATAATATATAATAATTGTTTATATAATATGTAATATTTTATATAATATATAATATTTTATATAATATATAAATATTATATATTATTTAAAATGTTATATTATATAAAATATTATGTATTATATAAAAATTATATATTATATAAAAAAATAATATATTATATAAAAAATTTTAATTATATAGAATATATATTATATAAAAAATTATATAAATGTATAACAAAATAACCCATGCCTATTTTTGCTAACCATAAAATGAACACTTGGCATGCCAAGTGTTCATTTAATATTTAGCAAAAGTCCTTGATGTGTCTATATAATATATAATTTTTTATATAATATATAATATTTTATATAATATATAATTTTTTATATAATATATTATATTTTATATATTATATAAAAAATTATATATTATATAAAATATTATATATTATATAAAATATTAAATTATAAAAAATATATATTATATAAAATATTATATAAATATATAACGTAAAAACCATGTGAATTTTTGCTAAATAATAAGTGAACACATGGCGCCTCATATTAAATATTTATAAAATTAAATAAGAAATTTACACACTTAAGATTTAAAACTTTCTGTCAGGATTGGTGGTTCAAATAAAAACAATAAAATTGTTGAATTACAGAAAAGACTGGCTAAGGAAGTAAAGGAAATGAGAGGTAGAAATGCAGACAGCAAACAGGACACTTTATCGACAGGCAAGCTGAAATGGGCCAAAGGCCTTCTCCAGCGTTTGCGCACAATTGCTGTAAACGTAAGTAGAGGGGCCAGTATAATTATTTGAACCTTTTTTTAATAAAATTAGCCAATCAGACAAAACAAAATTTTAAACTTATCGATGTCTGTTTGTCTTTAGCCACAGCATTGTATTCCTGATCTCTTCATCTGGTTGACTTGTGATGACAGACGTGTCGCTTACACGCGGATACCATCACGTAAACTCTTGTTCTCTAAAGACGAAAAGGCGATTGGAGAGCTTTGCGGTAAAATGCAGACAATCTTTCTAAAGGTTGGTTAAGTTTAATAAATTGCAAAAAACATATAGAGTAGCTTCTCTATGGCAGAAAAAAATCGCAGTGGTCAATGGTGATACACTTACAAAAATCGAACATAAAAAATGTTAATATAATATGTGATGTTTTGTATCCATAGCAATGCCATTTTATTAACCAATCATACGTGTTGTTATGTAGCTTCCTGGTAAATATGCAGGTGGTATGAGCGGCTGGAAAGTACAGACTAAACTAGAGGTGTACCTGTGGCTTGGTTTGAACAAGGAACGTAAACATATACTACCAGGGTTGCCGACCGGTTTTGACCCACGCTATGGGATTGCTCGAATAGCAGCCTCTAGAAAAACACCTCCCTCTGTGATTAAGTATACAGGTACTTTGTAAATACAAGAACGATACTTAAATTAAATTAAATTACAGTATGTAAATATACATTTAAAAAAATGCGTATTATTATTGAACATAGTTCAAATTTACAATTTGAAATAAATTATATTTATGAAGTTAATTCATATAATTTTTCTCACTTAAAGATCATTATGATTTTCAAGTACGCTGTCACCTCTACCAAGCGAGGAGTCTGATTGGTTCTGATGATTCAGGGTTATCCGATCCGTTTGTTCGTTTTTTCATCGGTGGTCAGTCGCAGGATAGTAAGATAATCTTTGAGACATTGAATCCAGCCTGGAATGAGGTGTTACTGTTCGACAAGATCACAGTCTGGGGAACAAAGAAGAACCTGAACGAAGAACCGCCATTAGGTGTCGCAGAAGTCTACGACTTTGACATTGGGGTGCGAACAATTAGTCAAATTTGATCTTGAACTAGAATTTTACTAATATAATTTTAAATGCAATGTATTTTATTATTATTATTATTATTATTATTATTATTATCATTATTATTATTATTATTATTATTATTATTATTGTTATTATTATAACTATCATTTTAATTATTGTTGTAGGACTGTTTAATTGTTTGTTTTTGTTGCTTTCTTATTTTGTCTGTGTATATTTATTGTTATTTATTATTATTAATTATTATACAGCATAGTGGTAATAATCATTATTAGTTATTAATAGTTATGTGATTAATTTCAAAGACTATGATATTCATTTGATGTTGAACTTGTAGGGAGGCGAAGAGTTCATAGGTCGATGTTTGATAAAACCGATTGTGAAATTCACAAGCAATGCCTACGAGTGGCCTGAACTCTCTTGGTGGAAGATTACAAGAGGGCCAGTAACTGCTGGTGAAGTACTCGTGGCTGTTGAATTAATTGAGGTATGCATCCAATCAGTTGTGTGATGATAAGTATGAGCACATATTTAAAATAGAATTACAGTATTTCATATCCATCTAGACAATTGCTGTTGGAAGGAGGTATAGGGTTAAAGCCCTTGTGGTAGTGTGGGGGATGTTTGGAGAATTTTGAGCTCTTCAGACATTTACCATGTGTATTCCCAAAACTTTTTTTGAAAATAAAAACCTATGTTTATCCTTTTAGTCCAGTGTGCTATGGCCAACAGGGGGATGACTTGGCCTGTCCAACAAGGGGCTGGGATCAAATCTGTGTATGTCCCCCAACACTGATATTGTCACTTATCACGAGATCTTTGGTAGTTCTTGTTCTACTGATACGTTGTGGGCCAACATTGTTTATTCTTAGCAGGAACGTATTCTGGATTTCTTAAAGGATTGGAATTTCTATAAGAGCCAAAGTTTCCTGGTGCAGTACCCTTGTGTAGTCCAGAAAAATTCCGCTTGTGAGGGTCAGGGGTAAAACCCCCTGGAGCTGAATTATAGCTTGTGTATGGGAAATTTCAATATTTTATGGGGAGGGGTAGTTTGTTTTATCAGAGTGGTGGGGAGGGGGAGGGGGTGCTTGCTCAAAAACTTATCCCTCTGGTTACAGGCCTGCTTATAAGCATATACATTGCACAAAAAATTCCCTATTTAAAACATTGAAATGGTCTCTGTTTTTTCTCAGTTAACCTCAACTGGTAAGACACCAAATGGTGTACCACCAATAACTCGTCTAGAACCAGAAAAACCAGAAGAAAAACCGCCACCAATACCAATGCCTATGGAAATACGACCTGTCTTGATTAACTATAGGATAGAGGTAAAACAAGATATAAAGTGAAATAGAACACAGTGTAGTGTAATCAAAATACTGTATGATAAAGCATTACATATGTCTTGATTATCCAAATTCGAAAGGATCACCACACTATAAATGAAGTTCAATTAATTAAATCTGAGTTCACATTGCATTTATTTTGGTCAAACTAACGCTCTGTCCAAACTATTAAATCTTTCTTGACAAAATACAGTTATATGCCCATATATAGTCATGATGTGATGTCAGCATGGCCATATATAGTCATGTTACATGTTTTTGTCAAATAAAAATTTAATAGTGTGGACAGGACTTAATCATGTACAGTACCTGGTCACTTTGATAAAAAAAAAAAAATGCTCAGTGTGAACGACCTTCATAATATACTCCTTAGTCAAGTTACCCAAGAACATGTTCCAGCAAGAATATTTGCGGTGTTTTTCCTGAGCTGAAACGTGCAAGGCAGTCATCTTAAGCTCTTATGTTTTTTATTTATTAAATATTTCTAGATCTTATTCTGGGGTGTTCGAGAGCTAAAACGTGTGTTGTTGTTATCTGTGGATCGCCCTCGTGTGGAGATTGAGTGCGGAGGCCATGTTCTGCATTCTTCAACCATTGCTAATGCTAAGAGGAATCTCAACTTTGATGACAATATCAGATATTTTGATGTGGTGAGTTTTTATTTTATTAATTACAATGTCCTTGACAGTGGTGTATCTAGAAGTCTTGAAATGGGGGAAGGGGGCTGAAGGTGAAGTGGAGACTCGATGCTTAAGTGAGGGGGGGCATCAGCTCGCAGAATAAGGTGATTTGAGGTGGTTTTTATCTACATAAACATGAGTTTTTTTTTTGCTTCAAACATATTTAAGGTGGTGGGGGAAACTAGGGGTGCAAGTTTTTTTAAGGGGAGTGTGCCCTAGGAATACCACTGGTGCTGGAACATTTTACATAAATTAATAAATTATCATTAGTTTATATACAGTGCTTTATATGACTATAACAATAATATAACTTCTGTATCGATTACTTTTATACGGTATGCTGTTACTATTAGGCTTGTTATTTAATCAGGTAAATACTTCATGCTTATGAATACCGTAGTCCACCTCTGGTTTATTTAAGCCTACCATGGAGGAATTAGTTCTCCATGAGCCTACCATCCTAAATTTTGAGTAATCTTCATTAAAAAAAAAAAGCTTCACTCATTCATTCAGGGGTTTGCAAAGGATTATGTGTACTTCAAATAACTATACTGAAAGTATAATGAACATAAAACTAAAAATGAATTCCATCGATTTTGACAATTAAAATGCTGCTTGTGCCTCTTTGTAAGGCATAGATCCTAGGCTGAAATCACCATATCATTACCTAGGCTATTATCTAAAATTTTTCTGCAGGAACGCTACTGTATTGTTTGCATTTTCTGATTCTCAGGTATAAGCTCACGCTCTAAACTTGACCCTCTGTCATGTTCAAGGGGTGTGGCCTTACACCTTAGGAAATTTAATATATAAATATATTACGAATCACATAATGCAAGCAATTTTCTTTAACTGTGTATATAGGAATTGCCAGAAAATGAGGTGTTTTGTCCACCGCTGAACATCCGGATTGTCGATGTCCGAAACTTTGGTCGGATTGCATTGGTTGGTACTCACGTTGTCCACTCGATTTCCCAGTACAAGGTTGAATTTGAAGGCAAGATTTATCCTCCCCAACTATGGAGGACATTATTTGTATTTTTGTTGAACTCAAATTGAAAGATAGATTATGATCTGATCACCCCAAGACATTATGTAATGCTGTGTATTCCATTGTGTGTGACCCAAGGACAGGAGTAATGCTTAATACATATTATTCTTTGGATGTATTCGATATAACGATAACCTAAAAAATTCTGAATAAGAAATTTCCTTCGTGGTGCTTGGGCAATACACCGAGAGATAAGTCCTTACTCTTTTCCGAAGAGTACTGTGTTCTTTAACATGCACATGGGCCTTATTGTTTGTTCTTGTTATTTTTTTAAATATTATTCTTGATAAGTATATTATACTTATTCTTAACTTTTTATTAGTATTAGCATTTATTATTTATTTTTATTTATTTGCTGTTGTTTTTTTTCATTGTGCAATTAGAAAGTTCTGTTAATTGAGGATGGCATAAAGCAGGGGTGGGCATAAAAATCGGTCGGAGGGCCAAAGTGTATTTTTGATTTAACACTGAGGGCCACAACCACAGTTGGTTCCAGTGTGCTTCCAAAAACTTTCAGAAAAAGATTTTATACCACTTTATTCTCAGTTTTGATATTACTTTTGGATGGTGAGCCACACACATAGGGTTTTTAATTCTTTTTCATGGGCCGCAAAAAATCTTTATCAGGCCGGATGCAGCCCACTGGGCTGCACTTTTCCCACCTGTGACATAAGCATCATGGGGGATGTTTACCATACTGTATATATAAATTTGTTTGTGGAATACTTTTTTCAGATAAACCAGTATTCTCTATTCCTGCTACTCAGGCAGCCATTACGGAACTACCTGATGAAGACAAAGATAAAACACAGGGTAATGGGATACTAAAGTCAACCTCTTCCGTACAAAATGGCCACATCAACGAAGGCAACCTACACACTGGCTCAGAGAATGGTGCCTTAGTTAATGGAGACAAACCACCTACCGATATGACTTCTATAAGAAGGAATTTTTCAACAGTGTCTTTTTCTCCGAACGGAATTGTCAATGAAGCCTATCAAGATGCAGTCTCAATCCAGATAGAAAATGATGCAGCGCCAACAAAGGCTCCTTCTGAAGTAGGTTCGATCCGTTCCCAGAGATCAGTAGGAAGCCAATCAAAAGTTGTTATTGCATCTCGCAGGAGTAGTGTGACGTTCGCAAAAGCTACGGAGTTCATGACTACAAGTGCAACCGACCTGTTGCCGATGGAAGGGCTTAGCTTGTTTGGGATGGGTAAGGATAAAGTTGAAGGCCAAGTAGAGGCAAAGGAAGAGGATGGCCAAAATAAAGATGAGCAGAAAGATGGAGGGGACAAGCAGCCAGTGGAAGGACAGGTACCCATTCTATTTTTGGTTCCTCTTCAGCTGTCCTGACTATCAAATTTCTTTGCCACATAACTTGTGTATGTCCATATATAGTAAAGATGTGCCTATATATGGTCATGATGTGATGTCATCATGACCATATTTGGGCATGTCACATGTTTTTGTCAAATACAAATTGATAGTCTGGACCAGCTTCATCCACACTGTCACATTTTGTGAAAGGCTACCAAGTCATATTGTACCCGTATATGGGCATATCACAAGTACTTGTTACACGAAATTTTCATAATGTTGATAAAGCTTTACTGTATAATGCAGGTCTGTAAAAATATTTGAAAACTGTTTCAAAACTCTTCTCTACTGTAATTATGTAGCCTAATTACCATTTTTATAAATATTAGTTAATTTATTCAGTATTGATTGTTCCAATTACAGTATTATAGTAAAAAGCATTGTATTTGCTTTTGACATGTTTACATTATTATAGGCTGCAGCCCCAACTGCCGTACCCACAGTAATGGGTGGTGATGATGCAAATAATGATGACCCCTTACCTATGGATTGGTGGACTAAATACTATGTGTCCATGTACAAGCAAGATAAGGTAACCAAATGTATTATTTTTTTGCATTTAGTTTTTTCTGATATATTGTAAAAAAGCCATTTTTCCCTTTTTCCTATGATTTTGTACAGGAATTTTGGTCACCTTAGTAGAAAATACGAAGAACTTTATTTCTATCTCTCATTATAAATCAAAATTAAAGTTTACAAAAGCTTTGCTATTCATAAAACTATTCATATATCAAGGATGTGTCTATTAAAATATTTCATAATTCTATATGCTATAAACTATTAATTATATTATCAGTGTAATGTAATTTTTTAATAAGCATTTTTTTCAAACTAGTTACAGTTTGGTTCAATGCAAATTTGTTGCGAAACGCATCAGCAGTCTTTTCTTTCAACCTAAGAAGATTATCATTAATATTATCTCTGCTAAAATAATTATAGTAATTATTATATATCATCGTTATTTTAGCTGTTTGTCAGTATATTTTTGCCTCATTTTAGGAAGAACCTGATGACGGAGGGAGTGGCGAGGATGAAGAAGAATCCTTTATTACTGAAGGTAATCAGCATATATATTTATAACACTCAAAATGGTACTAAGATGTATTAATCGTTTTATACATCCAACCAATTCAATTCAAATTATCTGATCCATTCTATCTAATCCAGTCCATCCATCTAACCATCTAAAATCCAAATTACTTGATTCTTTGGCACACTCAAATGCAGTGAGGATGAGTTATATCAGTATTGTTGTTCATTGGTAGAATGAGGATGGTCAATGCACACATAGACCATTACAAATACTCATTCTACCCAGCTGGGATACTAGATTACAATCTAATGTATTTAAGATAATTTAATATTGTATTGTACTGGTAGTCATGAGTTTATGTTATTTCCGTTCGTTTGGACAATAAAAAAATTTGTATCTTGTATCTTTTTATCCAAGTCAGATTCTTTTACCATTTCTTTTTTGACACAAAATATTTTTCAACACACTGTAGCCTTGTTTACATTGAACAATACATTTGACTGGGTTACTATAGTTCAGTTATCTGGACCATACAGTTATATCCAGATAAAGGTGGAGCTGTCAGGATTAAATGTAGATAATCGACTCCAGTATTCATGGTAAAAAATAAATCAATCATGTTCCATTTCCGTTGTGGTTTTCAGTCACAGGATTGACTCACTACCAGTCCTAATCTAGAACTGGACAATGTTGAACTTGAACACATACACTAGATTACCCTATCATATATCAAGACTGTACTAATTTAAGTTTGATGTAAACCAGTATTAACCTATATTCTTGATATTGTAACAGCTCCTTCAACGACAAGCAAGAGGCGCAGGAGGAAAACTGGCAATGCCTTCAACAGATTCAGGAAATCGATAAAAGAGAAGACTGCAAGACCGGAGGCAGTTGATGAAGAGGTTTTAGAAGCTATGAAGCCTGCTCCTTCAGATGTAAGCTAAAAGTTTTTATTGAAGCTCTCTATATTTAGATGAAAGTTAATTCTTTTTTTACGATATGATACAACTTTTATTTCCATCAAAATTCAATAAAATACAATAAAAATACATCATAAAAATAAATGAGATATGGATGGAGGAGATAGAACAAAAAGCAAACAGCCTGAAAAATGTTGTATCACCTTTACATAAAAATAGTTATGCAAATTTAGAACATGAAGAAAGACAAACTCACACCCACCCAGGGCGGAAACATAGAAGCATGAAGTAAAACAATTGGGGAAAATGCATAAAAAGAGATTCAGAAAGCAATGCAGGTAATGCCTGCTTTTTATTTTTATAGTATTGTAGTTACTTAAATTCTGTTTGAGAATTGTGCATGGGAAGTTTGTGTAAATTCAAGATAATTGTCAACTGGAGCCACTTGACCTAAATTATTTGCAGTTAGCGACATTCAGTATTGAAAGTCTGCTGTAATAATAATAATAATAATAATAATATAATTCTGGATTTATATAGCGCCTCACGTTGACACAAGCTCGAGGCACTTAACAACAACAGAGAAGAATAAAAATTAATTAAGTTCAAATGATTGGTTTGATGATTATCACAGGCTCTTCATTGAAAAGGCTCTTCATTGAAAAACTTGATTTTGTAAGTTGTGGGTTTGCTGCTGTTGAATGACAATAAAGATATTGTAAATACTCCAGATTTGTCTTCTTAATTCCAATATTTACTGTTTATATTTAAAAATTTTATTTTTGCTCAAAATATTTTGCATGAAATTTACAAATATATATTTTATACATTACAGATTGAGTGTATTGAATGTAACCATATTAAGGTAATTAATATTTAATATTATTATTATTATTAGTGTTATTGTTTTTTTATTTTTATTTTTACTGTTACTGCAGTTGTTAATTGAGAATTTCATTTTCAAAATATTATTTATTTCATTTATTATTATTGCTGCCGTTGTCATTGCCTTAGCCTTTGTCATTGTTATCATAATCATTAGTTAACCTATTAATAACTGTTAAAAATATTTATACCTTAACTAAGGATTTTACCAAACAAAATACTTGGTGGTTGATGGTTGGCAATAACCCTAGAATAAGGCATTGCCCTACGGTAACAAAAATTATTTACTGTAGTGCAATCGTTAAAATTATTTTATAAGAAATCCAACACACATCCAGAATTAAGTATTTTAGTGTTTTTCCTTTCCTAAAGATCTACAAATCTGAGTTGGAGTTGGTTCCGCAATTCGGTGGCTTCAAGGAATGGCTGCGATCTTTTGAACTGTACCGAGGCAAGAATGATAATGATGAAGTTGATGATAGCGACCGCATTTCAGGAGAATTTAAGGTATCCTTTAAAAAATACATGTCGGTACTTGTAGCATTATTTGTTTCAATCTGGGGCTTATGGGAATTTAATTACATATTTTATAATTTTAAATAAGCAGTTCAATATTTGAATTAATTAATTTAAAATGTCTTCTATTAATGCAGACATTAACTTCACACCATTCATTCCCAGGGCTGCTTCTGCTTGTATAGGCTGCCAAGGCCAGAGGGCAAGATACTCCGAAATGTTCTGGGATTTGAAGCTGATCATTTCTATTTCGAAGGTCTTCCTCCACCGGACCCCATCATAGTGCTTGTTAGGGTGTACATCATAAGAGCACTTGATCTTCATCCAGCCGATATCAATGGAAAGGTTAGTCTTTTGTTGTTGTGATCATTGGTCCTGTGTCACATTATCTTCATTTTTAGATCTTTTATAGCAATCGCTGCCGTTTAAAACAAAATGCACTTCTGGGTGATATAAGCTCTTCTGTGATCAAATTATTATTATTGATATAATATTATTTTGCTGTTATTTTTGCTTCTGCTGTTATAGTTCTTGTTGTGGTTGTTGCTGTTGTTGTGGCTGTTGTTTCTGCCATTGTTGCTGCCGTTGCTACCTGCATCTGCTGTTTCTGCTGCTCATGCTGCTGTTGCCATACTGCTGTTGCTGTTAATGTTGCCATCTGCTGTTGTTGCTGTAGCTGTTGTTGCAGCAGTTGTTACCTGCTGTTTGCATACCTGTAGCTGCTATTGCTGCAGCTGTTGCTGTTAATTTTGCTACCTACAGTTGTCGGTGTTGCTGTAGGTGTCGCTGCAGCTGTTGCTACTATGGCTGTTGTTGCTGCTGCTGTTGCTGTTATTATTGCTGCCTGCTGTTTCCATGGCTGCTATTGCTTCCGCCGTTGCTGTTGATATTGCTGCCTGCAGTTGTCGCTGTTGCTACTATAGCTGCTGTTGCTGCACTGTTGTTGGTGCATGTTGCTGTTGTTACCTGTTGTTTCCGTAGCTGCTATTTCTGCTGCTTTTCCTGTTGATATTGCTGCCTGCAGTTTTTATCGCAGTTGCTGTAGTTGTTGCTACCATGCCTGCTGTTGCTGCGCTGTTGTTGATGCCTGCTGCTGCTGTTGTTACTGGCAGTTTCCGTAGCTGCTATTGCTACCTGCTGTTGTTGTCATCGCTGTTGCTGCTGTTGCTGTTGTTTGCTCATCAGTCAAAATCAGCTAATGTGAACACCAGCACTAAACAAAGCTAAACCACTTGATCACTAATCACAGGAATTGAGAGTTTCCAAAATGTGAGACATCCACATCATTAAGTCTAAAAAATTGTGTTAAAACCAATGAATCATTTTTTTTCCCTTTAAGGCTGATCCCTACTTGTCTCTGGAGCTTGGTAATTTTTCAACTAACACAAAAGAGGAGTACCAATCAAAACAACTGAATCCATATTTTGGAAAGTAAGAAATTTTTATAATTAATTATTAATTTTATTAATTAATTTTATAATTATTATTATGGTTTTCTTGTTTGGAACATTAGGACTGAACTGTTTAACTGTAGCCATGTAATTAAAATAATAACAAGGTAAAATGAAATTGATTGGTTAATAAATGTTGCTATTGGTTGTTTTTAAGATGTTTTGAATTTGAAGCCACCTTCCCGATGGAATCTAAACTTCGCATCAAGGTGTACGACTGGGATTTAGTCGGACTGGACACACTGATTGGAGGAACTGAAATTGATCTTGAAAATCGACTGTATAGCAAACATCGTGCAGTTTGTGGACTGGCTGAAGAATATGCTTTGTAAGTGTACAAATCTGTCATTTCAAATTTCCATTGTTATTACGCATGGTGGAATGGATTTTTAGATTTGATGAGGAACTCTAGTTATACCCAACTGATTGACTTTGTTTTTTTGCTGATTGATTGTGCTTTTTTTTCACAGCTGACTGTCTTGCTTGTTTGCTGATTGACTCTACTATTTTCCTAATTGACTGTGCTTTTTTCATTTTTTAAAGAAAAAATAATGGGCTTGTCCCGGAATTGAATGAAGGACTTCTCACTCCCTAAACTACAGTCATGCCTCTAAACCAACAAGCCATATTTACTGTGTTTCACACTCTAAGCTGCATTCATGCCTGTAGATCAATGAGCCATAGTTACTATGTAATTTTGAAGGAGCTCTAGGAATACTCAGCTGATTGATTGATTGTTCGATTGATTAATAGATCTTTTTTGTATGGGCGGCTGTTAGGGCCAACACACTCTACTGCCTCTATTATACTGCCCTCATTGAAGATTATGACAACTTGTTTTTATCACATGAACTACATTTTTTTTTTTGGTAATATTGATATATTTATCTGAATTTGTGGGTCTTTTTATTTATTCAGAATTTTAACTGTGCTACAGATTTTTTTTTTCTTATTTTCAAAGAGATTGATGTAAAAGCAGCAGTAATTGAACTAACAAAAATTTTGTTTTTTCTAATGTTGTTTCAACATATTTTAGGTATGGCTACAACAAATGGCGCGATCCTGAGAAACCAACTGACATTTTGCGAAGGCTTTGCCGTGAGTGTCATTTTGATCCTCCCGTCTACAGTGGAGGGGGAGTGGTAGTTGTAAATGGGATAACAATTATTGGAGAAGCTAATCTGGTGGACGATACAGGTAAGATATTTCACCAATGTTTTTAATAATAATATAATAATAGTAAGATTTATAAAGCGCACAAATCCACTGCAGTAGTGCTCAAGGCGCTCTTGATACCGTAATTTCTTTGCGTAATTTTTTTCTTCATCTACTTGAAATATGTTTTGAACCAATTAATTGTCTGTATTTAACTGCAAAAGCTAAGTTTATTACTTAACAATGATATTATTATTTGGTTGTTTAAAGGCCTATCAACACCGACAGATGAGCATGTTGCTTTGGAAGCATTATTAAACTGGGAGGAAATTGCAGGGTACAGCCTTGTTGAGGAGCACGTTGAAACCCGTACCCTGTACACACCTGAAAGACCAGGTGTCGACCAGGTAAATATATCAATCAATCAATCCATCAATCATCAATTTTTAAGGAGCATGTGTCTTTATAGGAAGATGTTTGCAGAGCCTCTGACTCAAAATTACTTTGCCAGGAATGCAAAAGCTAAATTAAAGTAAACAAAAAGGACAAACAGTAATTAAAAAATCAGAGGCTTAGGTAGTAGAGCTGTTTTCATTAATGAGAAAAAACCCTTTGCTATGACTGGGTCTGAACCCACACCACCCTGGGAATGGAAGGCAAGCATCGTAACCACCAAACCATTCAACTCCACTCCTATTAAGTAATAATGATGGAATTATTTAATATGTAAATGATTAATAACTGGCTGCCTGTTGCTATTCCTATCAGATGTTAGAAGTGTCAGCCAATGATGTAGTACATCTCCAAACAATCCTTGTCTAAAACTAGCTCTGCAATTCCTTGTAGGGCAAGATTGAAATGTGGGTGGATATGTTCCCATTAAGTGGACCTCAGCCAGGACCACAGACGGATATCTCGCTTCGAAAGGCAAAGACGTACGAACTCCGTGTTATCATTTGGAACACAGAAGATGTTATTCTGGTTGATGACTCGCTGGTCAGCGGTGATAAGATGACTGATATTTTTGTGCGAGGGTGAGTGATGAATTCATGATCTTGTACTTGTCTTATGTTCCTTTCTCTCGTAGAGGGTTGGATGCAATGAATGCGAATCTTCTGTTGAATATTTTCCTTATTGCTTGCTTGTTAGTCTTGTCCATGTGGTTATGTTATCTGTCTTGTGTAATTCACAATTTACCATATTATTGACACTCTCTACTGCCATCGCAGTATTAACCTTACACTTTTATCTTCAGCTGCTAATATGTTATAAGCAGACCTATGGTTTTTACATACATTATTATTTTTTATCATTTGTGAATATTATTTTTATGTATGTTAACTTTACTAATATCAGTCAGGACTTTTCGATACATTTTATCAAACACCCTTTACAATTTTATCTTCAGCTTCTAATCAAAGCCATATGCAAAAACAATAATTATATGTATATTTTTTTTAGTTGGTTAAAAGGCGTTGATGATGACTTACAAGTGACGGATGTCCACTATCGGTCTCTTACTGGGGAGGGGAATTTCAACTGGCGTTACATCTTCCCATTTGAGTATTTGGAGGCAGAACGCAAGATCGTGGTTAAAAAGAAAGAGAAAAAATGGTCAATAGATGAGTCAGAGTTCAAAATACCTCCAAAGCTAAACGTACAAGTGTGGGACGCAGATCTTGTATTGTCAAATGATTTCTTAGGTCAGTAAAGATACTACTACTCACCAAAACATATAATACAAGCTGAAGAAGCCATTATTTCCTGAACAAAAAATTGTTTAGAGCCTTGCATGAGACAGAAGAAAATATAGAAAAGAAAATAATAGCCCCTAAGGCTTCTATTTTCTGAAATAACATGAAAATAATTGCTTGCACCTCATTTTATATGTATATATTTTAATCAAACTGAAATTGTGGCAAAGACAAGCCAAACCAGTCACTCGTCGCAAATCGTGTTTCAGAGAAAATGGCCAAAACATGCTTTAATGTCAAATTTTTAAAAATCTATTTTATTGCACTAAACTAATCTTTACATATCTATACATCATTCTATGCTGTTATTTTCCCCATTTTCAATGTTAAAGCAACACTTTTTAAAGATTTGATGATAGTTTCTGCATGAGAAATGCCTGAAATCATAAACTTTGAAGGCTGATTTCTCATATGTTGTTCTTTAAACTGCTGTATGTTTAAACGCTTGTAACTTCATAAGGAAATGTCCAATTTGAATGATTTTTTTACCATTTTATAGCTATTATTTTACTCTCTAACACTGTATTAATAACTCAAAATCAATTTTTGCGACGAGTGACTGGTTTGGCTTGTCTTTACCACAATTGCTATTCTTAGATATAAAAGTTTTAAACACAAAAACACCCTTCTTGTTTATATTAGGTAGCTTTCAGTTAGATCTGACTAACTTTCCTCTTGGAGCCAAGTCTTCGAAGAACTGCAAGCCGAAACGCCTGACAGACCCTACTGTTCCCCATGTTTCCCTTTTCCGGTTGAAGAGAACTCGTGGATGGTGGCCGTTTGTTGTCAAGAATGATGAGAAACAAAAGTATGAACTTACTGTAAGTACTATTATGGACACAAAATAAGGTTTGGGAAATTTTGGTTTCAATGTTTTGAATAATTAAAAATTATGAAAACCCTTCTCAAACAATATTTTGCTCTAATAACGGATTTGGGCAAATTTTTACTTACTGTAAGTACTATCATGGACACAAAATATGGTGTATGAAATTTTGGTTTAAATGTTTTTGAATACTTATGATATAATTATAATAATATAATTATAAAAACCCATCTCAAACAATATTTGCTCTAATAACAGATTTGGGCAAATTCTTACATGGATCAAACTCTTAACAGGAAAAGAATACCAACAGAAGTGATTAAGTTCCTTAAGTAGTAACTTATTTAGTATATTTGCACCCTTTTTTTTATTTGCAGGGTAAAGTAGACATGGAAATGATCCTGATGACAGAAGATGAAGCACAGAAGAGTCCAGCTGGTCTTGGCCGAAAGGAGCCAGATCCTATGGACCCGCCAAAGTTAGTCACATTATATTATACATATTACATACACATATACACATAGGTAAATACATCACGGACACAGAAAAACCAAGTTTTACAAAATGAAAACTTGGGTACCCATTCACGAATAATAATAAACACGTTTTACAATTGCATATCACATACCTCTTGGAATTCTTTTCTTCGTTGATCTTCTTTGGACCTGCATAATTTCAAAATACCTCTGCCATCCACTTGAGGGAGGAGCCCCCATCTGCAAAATAAGCTTGTGCTGAAGTTATAATTTAAAATTGGTGCTAAAGCAGAAAAAAATGTGTAACTAAATTAATTACAATTAATTTGCTTTTCCCACACCCCAAGCATACGGCCATGAGCGTTAGCTAACACTCACACATCAGCACACCTTTACACAAGCATCTCCAAACCCCATCGTAAATGGCGAGTTGATTGGCCGAGCAGTTAAGTCGGGCACCGTAACCTTCAGCTATAATATCGACACTGGTTCGAATGGCTCACTTGCCAATGGTTCAGTGGTGGAACAAGTCTTCTTGGATAAGGACTTTAAACCGTAGGCCCAGTGTACGCATTTGGCTTGTGCACTTTAAAGAACCCAGTACATCCTTCGAGATGAGTAGGGGGTTACCCCAGTGTACTAGTCTATTCAGTCCCCTGTCATTTAATGGATGTGCCACGTAGGATAGTGATTGGCATATCCTTGGAGCTTGTGCCTAAAGAAATGAAATGAAATGAAATAACACTATAATCCGTATTTGTTATTTGGTATATCAAAGTTAAAAAAATTAAGACTTGTAATATAGCAATATTTTAAGGTGTAAATGCAGTTATTTTTTTCTTTTTACAGTCGGCCCGACACTTCGTTCTTGTCGTTGATGAATCCTCTGAATGCGTTGAAGTACCTGATCTGTGTGCGTCTCAAGATACTCATGATCAAACTCACCATCTTCCTCATCATCATAGCTTTTATTGCGCTTTTCATCTACTCATCACCAGGCTACGTCGTCAAGAAAATAATTGGCGCTTAGACAATATTTACTTTTATGTACTTAGGATGTAAATCACTAACGTACATTATAGCCCACTATCTTTTAAGAATTCTCTAAGCTGTTTGTCCAATATGCAACAAAACCCATTTACATGACATAGAATAAGCAGCCAAATTCATCACCTGGTGTGGCATTATTCAGTGACTTTAGTAAGTTGAGGACCCGTGGGTCCGAGTGTTCCTTTTAGTGTGTTCCTTTACCTTTTATGGGGGTCCAGGGAATATAATCACCTTGGAACCTTCACAGTTTTAAATCTCTTATTATTATCTAAATGATTTCACACTTTATTGGTGATATTTTTTTTGTGGCTTCTAGGGGTAGGCCCCTTTTGCCATTGTGTATCTGTATATACATCTGTTTGATGTTACATCATTTATTAGCAAACCCTGGCCTATGTCCCTAAAATGTAAAATTAATTGTGTATATGAGATTAACACAGTGTTGGAAGGATACTGATGTCTTGGGTAAAGGTGGGGAATTATTTTGTTGTTGGCCTTTGATTCGATTTATTGGCTGAGAATTACTTGCGGTATTCTATAATGCCATTCATTGGAGCTTTTAAAGGTCATACTGTATTTATGAATAATAGATGACAATTTATCAAGTGCAATTTTTGTGTAAATACTTGTACAAATTATAATAAGTATGATGATGACTATAAAATCTGTTATGCATTTTCACTGTTGGCAATCAACATAAATGCTTCTTTTATGTTAGTAATAAAATATTGTACTGTTTATTGTCATGACAGTTTTAACAAAACATTATTGATTTTTATGTTAATGTTTAATAACACGTTATAATACAAGTTATGAATAATCTATTTTTAAATAATAATTTGAGTATATGTTGCCAGTACATTTAGATTCTAGGGGTCCAGGGAATATAATCACCTTGGAACCTTCACAGTTTTAAATCTCTTATTATTATCTAAATGATTTCACACTTTATTGGTGATATTTTTTTTGTGGCTTCTAGGGGTAGGCCCCTTTTGCCATTGTGTATCTGTATATACATCTGTTTGATGTTACATCATTTATTAGCAAACCCTGGCCTATGTCCCTAAAATGTAAAATTAATTGTGTATATGAGATTAACACAGTGTTGGAAGGATACTGATGTCTTGGGTAAAGGTGGGGAATTATTTTGTTGTTGGCCTTTGATTCGATTTATTGGCTGAGAATTACTTGCGGTATTCTATAATGCCATTCATTGGAGCTTTTAAAGGTCATACTGTATTTATGAATAATAGATGACAATTTATCAAGTGCAATTTTTGTGTAAATACTAGTACAAATTATAATAAGTATGATGATGACTATAAAATCTGTTATGCATTTTCACTGTTGGCAATCAACATAAATGTTTCTTTTATGTTAGTAATAAAATATTGTACTGTTTATTGTCAAAATAAAGAGGGACTCGTGACAGTTTTAACAAAACATTATTGATTTTTATGTTAATGTTTAATAACACAATATAATACAAGTTATGAATAATCTATTTTTTAAATAATAATTTGAGTATATGTTGCCAGCACATTTAGATTCTAGAACAAGATGTGTCTCTTTAGATTATGTTTAAGCAATGCAGCGATAATGGTATGTATATTGTACAGGAAATCAACCAGTAACTTGGGTGTAGCAACATTGAATTGAAAACCACCTTCCACATTACTATATTGTGATAAATGCTTATACACCAATATGGAATAGCACTAGTTGAATCAAGACTACAATATTAGGGATTGGAAATTTTAAGTGCTTTGTTTAATGCTTTATTTTTATATGTTATGTAAACAATAATTTATTTTGATAGTGAAACTTACTGTTTTGAAGTACCTATAGTCCAGTTAAAACACTTTTTTCTCAAAACATTGTTTCTTTGTGGTGTTGATGCTGAACATACCGTGGGTTTGATTAATGCAATAACATTATTATAACTACCATAGAAGACCTAATAAGAACCATGCTTATAAACTTAATTTGGAGGCTTCAGTGCAGAGCTTTTTTTAAATGATGTGCTTATATGAGAGTATTGTAGTGTTTATTTCAAATGTCTTGCATGTAAAAATTATTCAATGTGTTTTCCATAGGCCTATTAAGACAAAGCTTAGGGACTGGAACCCAGTCTACAGGAATATATGCACAACAGTCAACACAAGAAGTACAGTACATGTATACAGTAGTACCATAATAAGTACAAAAGTATTGATTTTATTGTCTCACTGAGATGGTGTGTTCATGGAAATCAAAGACATTTGTCAATTAACTTAATAGGCCATACTGTACTATAATAGTTAATAATAATAGAAATCAAGGCATTATAAACAAAAAGAAATTACTACATATCTACTCCACAAGATAAATAGATTAAATCTAGATTTAAAAAAATGTGAGGTACCATTCACAATTATCAACATACAATACAAAATTTTCAATTTATTTTAATAATTGTAATTAATTTTTACATTTCTTCATGCATAGAAAAACCAAATAAATAAAAGTTTCTATTTATTTGTCAAAGGTGTATGTAATGTTGCTTGCCACCATGGGGTAACCATACTCATTCAAAATTCAGTCTAATTTACTGTAGTGGGAAAAGGCTGCAAGTTGCTTCAATGCAAGAAAAATGTACAGTATAGACAAATACACTTAATGGAAGTCTTAAACAGAAGACGCAAGAGCATGCAATGGGAGATGACTGAAAAAATACGGAGCAGTTATGTGACTGGAAGCTCTGGGAGGGATGCATGTTGCCTTCAAGGAGAGCTACTGATGATGATAGCCAGATACCCAAGCAATTGCAAAGCAGTAGTCATAGCAAATACAAAATGATACAGGTTATTATAGTTCAGTATTTTAGAAGCGACATCAGGCACACAGCGGGCCTGTAACCAAGTTCATGCGAAGGGGTCCTAAAGGCTAACTCAGAAGTGTTTGTTTCTTTAATAAAGTTACGACGAAATATTACTACAGTAGTAAAGTGGGGGTTCGGCCGAACCCCTATCCCCTGGTTACAAGCCTGCACAGTGCGTTGTGCGTACATTGCATGTGCTTAATAAATTAAAGGATAATAAGGCAGAAAACAAATTTCAGGGTGGTACAAATACAGGCAACACATGCTATCATTCGGTGCATCTATGCAAGCATACAGTTCAGAAATACAGTACAGAAATGTTTACAACAGTGAATGAATGGCCTTTATTAATATTCATAAATTATTAATTAATATTTATAAACTATATAGTTTATAAATTGCAGATATTTTTTTGTTCTGATAATGAAGTATGTTATATTCTACAACATATTAAATTCTCAATGCTTAAATAAATTTTGATTTTACAAATCTACCGGAAAGAGGAAATTGACGAAAGTTTTTTGGGTATAATCCCACTCCCCACCTACTTATTAAGTCTAATTTAGAAAGTTGAAATTTCTTGAAGTTGAGGGAGTTGTTGAAAGCATCCCATAATTGTAGCAGCAATGAAGTGTCAATGACGTCCACATGTATAGCCAGAAATTATTTAATATTAATTCAAAAACTCCACATGAAAAATCTTGCATTTTAATAAAATGGCTTTTCTTCTGTCACGAGCCACCGACTTGCAAAGTGTTCTGTTGCTGTTCATATTTTTTCCTTATACAACAGTTGTTGCTATCATCATTCCTTCAAATCCTTTTATGCTTCCATTATGTTTTTGACCAATCCTGATTGATTTCACACCAAATTCAAATTGGCTCCTTAACTCTGCCGTTTCCAGGAGCGTGCTAAGTACCAAGGTTCATTCATGTGTTCCAAAGAATTCAGTATTTAGCTATAAGGCTTACAAATTGTCCATCACCGTTTGTATGCACGCTAAAACTCAATTATATTGCATGTTCAAAGTTCAGAAATTACAGTATTCTGTTACTGCCCTCAATCATCATGTTTCCAACATGTCCGAAGTAAGTAAAGTCGGTGAACGCTCTCCACAGTCCATTAATTTCATTAGGATACAAATTGGTACCATCATTAATGTTGCATTTTTTGGGTTAGTTTTCGTGCACGCTAATAACATACAAAATACTTGTATGTATGGAATGAGCAATATAAGAATCCAAACCCAAAAGGGCAGCGACAGAACACGCCCTTTTATTCGCTGAAATATGTTCAAGCGCTCATTTTGTATTGACGATTTCTTTGATACATGCTCTAATGCTAACATATTGTAGGAGTCACTAATTTCAAAAATGTAGTATGCTAATGCGAAACTGACTAGGAAGAATATTGCAATAACAAGCCACGCAATTCGTTGACGAAAATTCATCTTGTTATACACGTACCTGTTAATAACAAAATTAAATGATAAATACTGATAGTATGAATAATGATATGAAATAAAGAATTTAATTGGTTATTAATTATTACTGTACTAATCTTAAATATTACAATATAATTACAATAACAACAGGAATAACAATATAACCAACAATAGACCAGCACTACGCTTAGCCTACTCATTACCACCATGGTTAGTGTACTTACTAGGCCTAGCCTAGTATTAACAGTACAGCAGTAGTATAGTAGTAGTAGGCTAGTACTACTACTATGTAAACGCTTTAATTTCATTAATAATAACTGAAAATATAGCATGAAAATTATGTCGTGTAATTCCTGCATGAAAGTGCAGACAAAAAAGATCATCAGTAAATTCCACACGTCTAGGCCTAGAGAGACCTCGAGTGTAAATATACGTGGCTGAAACCTTACTCTAGGCATTCAATTCAAGCACTGTGATGCGTATACGACAGCACAGCCTATCCTTCAGCGTTCAAATCGTAATGCAATGAATGAACAGTCGTATCATTGGTCCAAACGGATAGGTTATAACATGGAGGAAAATAACAACTAAATCACACATTAATATAACAATCTTGTTAAAAATATATAATATGCTTACCATCCACAATACAGCCAAACAATACAATTTTGATCAAACCAGGGGAAGTTTTACTGCAGCAGTGTGTGTTTTTATAAAGTCGTGATCACGTGATGGTACAACCACAGCACCCCCACGTTATAGCCAACTGACAATCAATCATGTAGCTACACTGTAGCAAAGCGTATACTCTTTGACTGTAGACAATGGGGAAATAATATTATATTTAGCAAAGTCATTATTATTATAGGACTATTCTATTATCTAGCAATAGACCAATAGCACGTTTTACTTTTCTAATTAATTTGTGAAATGTGGCTCTCTTTGCAAGCACATCTAACATCTAAGGAAAGAATAGCATCTGTCTCTTATACACATCTAGATGTGTATAAGAGACAGACGTTTATAGCGATCGCCGAAAAAGGTGATGGGTATACAAATTTAAACGTACAATTAAGTACTGTATGACATGCACACATTAACGTGTAATGATCTATTATTATAAATTGTTTATGATTAAAAAATTAAATAGGCCTATTTACAAATTCAAAAACAAGAAACAAAATCCTTTAAATCATAATTCTCAAAGTAAAAAATGGTGAACCTTATTTTTGAAATCAAGCCCCTATATGCTTCTCTTGTTTAAAATGATTTGGCAATTTGTTCCATATCTTAAGTCCACAATTACAATGCTTTGTTGGCCGACCTTTGTGTGTTTAAGTATAGCTACAAGGTTTTCTTTCTTTCTAGCCATAATTATGAATAGATTCATTTGTAACAAATATTTATCAAAGGTTATCGGTAGTTTATGTCTGTGATACTGAAACATGAATATTGTCATTTTTTTTCTCATACAAATTGAAGGAATTTAAGGAAAAAAAGTATTGAGGAGGATGCTGAAAGTGTCACATAGTTGTTTTTTTTTTATGTTATCCCAATTTTTAACAGCTTACTATAATCACCATTTTATTAGTAAGGGCCTATTGTTTATGTTTTATGTATTCGATCGTTACCTTAAAATACTTGACCCGGCAGCGAAAATAAAACTTCATCGACTCCATCGTCATCAACGAATTCCTTATCAATCTCATCCATGTGTTCCAGAAGTTCTTCTCGTCTCTTCCTCCTCTGCTGTGCTCGGAGTTCCCTAGCTAACCTCTGCTTTTCCTTCATCTGTTCAAAACTGCAAGCAGAGTCTTGTAAGCGGAGCCAACTTTCACGTTCGTCTGCTGCTTTTTTAGCCTAAAAAAGAAGAATGCTAGCTGAAATGATTCACTTAACATCACTGACAAATAAAAAAAATAAATAAATATTTTTATTTTATTATTATCTAGTGTTATAGGCATATTATTATTATTATTATTATTGTTTGAGTTAAGCGCTCTATCACTCCGTACCTAAAAATGGCTTTAGGGCCTTGTTTGGAGTGATTTAAAAAGAAAGTTGGTAAGTGTAAGTGGATAGAAGTTTACTGCCGTCATCTGTCAACGGGATATCATTGGTTCCGAATTGTAATTCTAGCACGGCCTAATTTTATTGACGGCAGAAGAAAAGTGAAAAATAATTTTGATACAAACCTTTCGTTTCTTCTCCTTCTTGTCTTCTTTGTCCTTCTTCTTGTTCTTATTCTTATCTTTCTTTTTGTCTTTCTTGACATTTATCATAGTTTCTTTGATTTTCCTGAGTTTCGGCAAGGTCAGGCCTACGTCTAGTGATCTTGGTTTGATAATGCCTTGCTCGATCAACTCTTTTAGGATGTCTTTCTCAGTCTTTAACATCTTGTCGGCGTTTCCGATGCCGATCCGGTTTGGTAAAGGCGCCAAAAGAGCACTGCTAATACGTGCTAGGCCCGAACCTACACAGACAGAAGGTACATATCAGAAGAAGTGATAAGAAGAGGAAGCCATTTGAGTTGAGGATTAGCTGAGCTTCTAATCATGCACGTGCAATTTACTGCGCATGATCATGTGAATAAGAACATCTATAAAGTAGCAACATTAACTGAATGACTGAGAGAAAAACAGAAAAAATTGAAAATATTCCGTCGGGATCCTCGATATAAAGAAAACACTGTAACAATACCAATAACAATAACTTTTAAAAAATAAACGATGAAATGATGAAAAACTCGGAAGCGGTTAATGAGGTACAGATTTTTTAATAGGGCCTATTTTAAAACTGGGGGATAGGTTGGAAAAGAAGGGTAGTTACGCCCCTTTCTCCCAATTTTTTAAATATTCAAAAATCTGTATCGAGCTTTTCGGCATATATGCCTTTCGAAAAATCGGTTCTACAACATATATAAAAAAAAAAACAAAACAAACAAAACAAAAACAAAAAAACACAAAAAAAAAAACCAAAAAAAATTCGCAGTCTGGCTTTAAGTTGATGATCAGATGGCAACGATAACCTACGTTTTGGTAACAGTTTTTCCTTGGATAGTTTTTGAGACATTCTCTTCGATTTCCTCTCAAATTCTGGTTCAGGATGAACGACCATTTCTCGTTTCTTGAACCAGGAAAACCAGCAACCGAGTTTTTTCCTGTAGGCAGTCGAAGCAGTGCTTCTTGCAATATGGGAGCTAGGCTGTTGAATATATAATTATTATGAATAATAATATCCATTTTATTCCATTATAATAATCATTGTCTGCAGTATGATTGCTATTGATAGATTGTTTTTTATTCATTGATTGATTACTGATCGATTAATTAATTAGGGCTTGAATGATTAATTGAGTGCTTGCTTATTGATTGAGATAACATAAATAACTCACTGTTTTCTCCAGCGGGGCTGAATCCGCTGCATGTTCTTCTTCCTTATGAAACACACACTTTCCCGAAGGCATTACCTAATAAACAACATTATAATAATTATAACAATAACACAATAATAAAATAGTATAGTAATGATAATATATAATACTATAATAGTAATATTGATTACTGCTACGATACTACTACTATCTAATAATATTAATCATCAAACAAATTTTAAGACCGAGTATTTGACATTAGTAATGATATATGATATTCTATATTACTGATAGCCTAATTGTTGTGGTATTTTTTCCAGATTTTGATATTCAAATCAGTTGAATAAAATCAACCATTCATATCGTATGCGATGGTCAAGATACGGTAACTGAAACAATATTAATATCACATTCTTACCTCGATACAAATTTTTTCGCCACTTAATTCGTTGACATAATACCAACACTGGATGCATTTTCCATCTCCAGATTCATTATGCTTCTTCGAAACTTTCTCTTTTTTGCTCACGGTAATTCCAACTGAGCTTGCGCATCCCATATTGGAGTAATAATTATAAATAACACGTACAGATAACTTGAGTAATAATGTAAGCGATAATCAAACTAAATAACGTTTTGAGATATGACTTGGCTGAACATAAGTAAACAAACATCCGCGTGCCACTGTTGTTATGGACGCACGGCACCTCTCAGGGAGTTAGATGAGAGATTACTACGCGTTTTAAAAATTTTTGCTCAAAACATCTATCTATGAAATTTGAAAAATGGCATAGCGTAATTTGAAAGCAAAATATTTATGCTCTTAGTTTAAATGCTTTTTCTTAAATTATAATAACTTTAAAACAATATCTTGGTTCAGTGCAGTGTAGTAATATTATTGCGGTAATATTATTCGTGCTATGATTACTAAGGTAACCGATCTCTTGCCTGGCTACGATTGGCTAGTAGTTTACGCAAGTAACCTACTTATTATAGCAACCCTAGCAACAATGTCTCAGCCAAGGCGATTCAACAATGGACTTTTCCGCTAAGCTCCGCCCCTTGGATATTGTTGCTAAGGTCCCACAAGTCAGCAGTGTTAAAACATACGCGAACACGTGCGTTTGTGGGACAACACGTGTGTTTGTAAGACGCGCGCGTATTCCTAGCGCTGTTCTGATTAGTCAGTTGTTAAGTTTGATTGACACTCCGGAAAGGTATATTGCCTTGTCGCAACCACTCATTTTAACAAGGTAATAAACAAGTTAGTACTTCAACTTTTCTGTAACTCAAAATTTGTATTTCTCCATCCCTCATTCAGTTGATACATTTTGTTAATAATTGTAGGCTTATATCCTTTTTAATTATTTTTTTCCACAATATTTTCCCCTTAATAACAGCCTATTTTTAACCATAGCCTAACGCATAAAGCCTTTAAAAATGATAAATAATGATGCAATATTATTATTATACTACCGGCCTACACACTTTATTCCGAAATTGTTACATCAGCAAATAAAATACCCAATTGAGCCTATTGTCCTGTGTGGACTGATGGTCAACAATGCATGCAGCCAGTGAGTTGTATCAGACAGGGCACATTTACAATTTCTAAATTTAAACGTTTGACAGATTATTGACGACTCCAGTCTGACAGATTATTGAAGACTCCAGTTTGACAGTTTATTGACGACTCCAGTTTGACAGTATTGAGTCCCATGAAATGGTTATTTATAGAACAGAATTTTATTTATATTAGGAATGTATGAAAAATGAAATAATAATATGTAAAAATTGATATAGGCTAAGGCCTAGCATTGAAGTTCTAAGTACAGTAGAACACCTTGTGACACGTTTGGACTAAAAAAGTGTCCCCTAATAGGGTGACACTGTGACCATAAACGTGAAATTGTCCCCTTAATAGGCCTAGGTGTTTCTGATACGCTTTCATACAACAAAAATGACATACATTCTTTATAATTTTTTATTCCAGTAGAATTTGAACTAATTTATAGCAATAATTTGCAATGCAGTATACAATTCATCTTTTAATAATATATCAGCTGAAATGTAATTAAAACAACATTATTACATTTTCCCATTATTATTTTATGATGCATTGATAATGACCAACTATTTTCTTTTTTTTTAAATATTGAGCTGGATGTCCCAAATGAGCATGTATAGAGTAAAGATTTAGAATTTAGGGTGCATGATGGTATAGATTAGCCTATATGAACGGTATACGAAAATATATAAGAAAAGGAAATCCCCGTCCCCTGAACAGGGGTGTCCCAAAGGCCTGCCCGAAGGAGGGGTTCTACTGTAATAATATTATTATAAGTCTTTTTTTTAATGTAATTTATCGCACTAACATAGGCCTACTGACACTGTTTAAATTAGTTCTCAAGCTCAAGCTCCTATTAAACTTTTATTTGAATATGAGAGGGCGCACGACGAATATCAATCGAAAACACACGGACGTTTGTTGTTTCTCCCTATCAGCGAGCAACAAACGAAGGGCGTCGTCTACCCACGTCTCCTTCTTTTGATTTCGTTTGTCTAGCCTAGGCCCGGCTTAGCTGGGACTCTATGATCCAACTTGTGTACAGTAATTTCGTGTAAGGCCATCACAGAATATGAAGCGAATAGGATATTGGATGAGTGAGAAAAAACGGAAGAAGATCGATTTGAATCAAGTAGCAGAGCTTTGTAGGTAAGGAAGGCATGCTGTTTCTGAAGCTGGTGGTGGTAGCTAGCTAGGCCTAGCCTAGGCCCTAGTTTATAAGTTTATCGAGGCTATACAGATTACAGAAGGCGTTGGGATGAACTGAATCAGCTCATGTGGTGGCGTTGTTACATGTACAGTATTGTGATAGGTCTACGTAGAGTTTATTCATAATTCCCGAATACTCCTACCTGTAGTATATAAACCCTGGGAATTGGGTAGTTAGTGTAGGGTAAAGTAATGTGTAGGGTAAATAAAGTAAGGCCGCCCTAGGGCGAAACATTTCAATTCATTCTTTAACTTATTATTATTAGGGTTAGGCCCTTCTTAGGGCCTAATTAATTTGCAGAAATTCCATTTTTCAATTTTGGCAGTTCACGCAAAGGTTTTATTGATTTTTTATGTATATTTTTTTTGTATAATTATTTTCAGGTCGATGATCTTGTCTCCCCAGCCATAAAACTCCTGCCATTTCCTTTTCAGTTCTATTTAAGGTTTTTTGTAGGGCTACACAATGTTGCACAGTGTGTTGGATTTTTGTGGTTTTGTTGCATAAATTCTTGCTGTCACAAGGGCATCTTTACAATTTCAACTTAGTGAAGTGCAATGATGAAATGATATGAACATTTGAAATTAAAATAAGCAGTGTTCCAACATATTTACATCAGTTTATGCTGCACGTAACGAACTACAAATTATTAATTTTTTTTTAATGTGAAAATGAAGACAATAAGATGATAACAGCATGTAACCATAAAATTTGCTAAATTATAGGCTGTTGACCGCAATTAGGACTATTATTATTCATGAGCATCTATTGTTGGTGGATACCGATATGTAAGACTCAACCAATTATTGATTAATGCTTTATATGCTTCTATTCCATAATTTTATTCATTTGTTTGTGGAAGAATGAAAAAAAAAAAAACAATCATTTTCTTGACTACCGTTCACTGACTATCACTTGACTATCATTTTGCATTGAATCCATATCAATTACTAGCATAGGCTTTCTTTTTGATCAAACATTCCAACTGAAATTTTAATTTGATATTTCAAAATCGCACTCTTAAGCGGGAAAACAAAAAATCTATTTTAATGAATGCTATGAAAGAGGAACTAAACGATTAATATAAAAATACCTAATAGACGTTTGTTTTAGGATTAAAGGCATCACCCCTGTACAGCTAATTAAAAGATATTTTACATTTTTGCGCATGCTTAAAAAAATGTATTATAATTACTGTATGAGATTATATTATATTTTTTCTTGCAGGTTAGAAGGTGTCGATGCTGAAGCAAAATTGGTGAGTGATCATTTTTAAATTTTGTATAAAATTCATAATTTTTTTTAGAAATTGATATTCATTTTTTGATAGTAATTTACCTTAATGGTACTCAACATCATTTGGCCGTGACATCTACCAACATATACTAAGCAGATATGGCAGATTATCTGATGCATCATATTCATAATTAATTTATTTTTCCCTGGGGCTCCAGAATCATGAAAATAACAACAATTTAATAAACCCTAATCTGGTGGATTGTTAAAAATAAAATAAAATTGACTTTCATACAAACTCTGTAAAATACATTATTCCGAGGATTATTACCTTAAATTGAATGGTAGTTGAAGGTTTTCTTTTAGCTTTTAACAAATTAAATTGTCATTCTGATTGACTGTTATCATCAGACAAGATTGGAGTATAAATAATTATAATTTATTTTACTATGTCAAAACGGCTTAAATCCTATGACAATGAAAAATCACAGTGGCGGATTTAGGATTAGTAACTTATGTATACACAAGAAGCACAGCACACAAGACGAGTGACCAATTTTTTTTCATGGTAACCGAAGGGGGTGGCTAGCCACCCTATTCACCCTCCTAGGTCCTCCATTGAATCAAATGTTTTCAAATTTAATGTGAGTTAATTATGGATATTTTTGTTTGTACTCTATGTTTTGTAATAAGATTTTTGATGAATAGATTTAATAAAATATATAGCAGTATTTTTCCTTTTCCTTTCACCCCCAACCCCCTCCCCCACTCATATAAAGAAAAACCTTATTTTTTTCTGAAACCTCCATTTTTTCGTGGTGGCTCACAGTTTGCGAAGCAACGTATAAAAATGTCTTGCCTTACTACTTGTACACTAAGGCTATGTTCACACACACGGCGTAAGGCTGGCTTAAGCCTGGCGTAGCGTACGCCTTTGTGTGTGAACTAGGCGGTGGCGTTGTTAAAGCCACTCACTACGCCACGTCCTTGGCGTTATTAACGCTACCTGCAGACCCCAGATTAGCTAACGCCACTGAGCTAACGCCAGTGATGCTTGAATGATTTGACCTCATTTCAAGAGATTGACCAATCACGATTACAATATATTAGCTACTTTGGTCTCTTTTCTGTGCTCTCTATAAATGAAATGGTAAAGGGGTTCCTTTTTTATTGCATTTTACTTAGTTATAATGTATATGATTTATTGATTGTGTTTTGTAAGATATTTTAACCATTTAGACTGTCTAATAAAACATGCAACATCAACAATGCTAGCTGAAACCAAAGTGCTATAGCCTTCAAAACTGAAGTTTGCACTAATCTGGAAGAAGAAGGGAAAAATCAAAAGTAAAATTGTTCATTTAAAATACAATAATCATATAAGTTCAATTCGAACAATTCACAGATTTAAAAGTTTTCATGATGCACTGTTAATTTTACTACTGTTAACACGTACCGTACATTTTTTAAAACTGAAAACTATTCCACTCCACATAGGCCTATATTACTGCTAGTTTAACGAACGCCGTTTGTGTGAACACTTTGGAATTTTAATCCGTGGACTAGCATACGCCTGGCGTAAGCCACGCCAGTCTTACGCCGTGTGTGTGAACATAGCCTTAATGTTGTACAATATTTATTATTTGCCTATAATAGGGCCATGAGAAGACTGGTTTTTAGAGTCCCTGAAGGTTAATTCTATTTTGATGACATTGAGATGTGAAAAGCTCTAATGGGCTACAGTTGATTTTGTTTGTGTGTGTTGCACCACATGGTTGCACAAGGTTTTATTTTTTTCAAGGCCAACATGCAGAGTACGAAGTAAACAATCATAAAATACATAAAAACATAAAGAAAACCATATTAAAACCATGAAAGTCAAAAATACCAGAAATGACTCTATTACAGCCTTAATAGAGATAATACTGTATGTGGACAAATTGTGTGGACTAATTGTGCCCATACAATTGTAGCGGTACTTTTAAAGCAAGTTTAATCTAGCAGTGCTCTAACTTCCAAGCACACAGAGCTAACACATTGAAAAAAAAAATAATGCCTTTCTCTTAAAAATGAAAACAGTGCATCGACTTTGTGTAGTGTTCCCAGTGACAATCAGATATTTGGTGTTAATCTTTTAAATAGTATATTCTTATTCTTACTCATCTTCTTGAATTTTTTTTTTCCAGATTTCTTTGGAACATGATTTAGAGGAACAAGGACCCTTTGATGTGATCCTGCACAAGGCAACAGACATATTAGTTCTAGCAGAAGATGGCGATGAAGATGCAGCTGCCGCTATGCGTAATTGGGAGGTAAATTTTCTGATTTAGAATTTGACATTTCTTTGTCACTCAGATGATTTGGTTTTGTGCAAAATTAATATACATTAGAATTATTTCCACCAATGCCTGAGACTGGTGATAGTCTGAAGGGATCGTCACTAAAAATGATCTGTTGCACACGTGTCGTTGTATTGCCTTTTCCATAGAAACGCGTCGGCTGACGACCGTCGGGCACAAGGTGCCCAGCTTAAGAGCTTAAAATTGATTGCTGATTGAACAAGAGTGACCACTCACCGGTCTGCGCGTTCCTCCATGTTTAAGTACCGTATAGGCGCAAGTTATTATATTAGGGTTTTTTGGCTGAGCTAATAAGATAGATATTTTTTAATAATTAGGATGTTTATTTGTACAAAAAAATTATTCTTTAGAATGTTCATTTCTACAAAGTTAAAATATCTTAAAATTGAAAAAAAATTAATTTCTTAAAAAAAAAAAAATTGAATATCAATATGCGATCCTTAAGTTCTTTAGAACACATCCCCAACTGACCGCGCCATCCATGCGACGTGCCCTATTAGTGTAATGGCAGTAATGTACAGCCCTTGCTGAAACCTCTGTTGGTCCAACTTAAAAAAAGGGCGGCGAATGTTTGTGGGATATCACCTCTAGCTTGTTTGTTGGAAATCACCTCTAGTTTATGTGTACAAAATTTCTTGCACGTCTGTTCAAAACTGGCGATGCTGGACGCTTTTAAAGTTTTGGTAACAAAGACAAGAACAAGTACAGCAGTGAGGCTCTGCGGTCAGGGCCTTGCGCGGACCCTAAAGGACTGAACTTTGGTTTTGGTTTGGTTTCAATATAAAGCCATCCTGTTAGCTACTTAGCCTAGTAAAAATGAGTGAAAAGTACAGTATTTTGGAGACAACATGGCAATTACAGTAGTACTGTAATGAGCTTACAAGAGCTTCCTTCTATCTTGTGAATAATACAGATATTAGCTTACTTCTACCATGCTTCTACTCTTCAGGAAACTTAGCCGTCACAAATCTTTTTAAGAGACAGCAAGGGAAACAGTGCTTTAGCTTTATGTGAACAATTACGGTACTATAGTCCATCACAACTAATAACCTTATGTTATTTATTTTATTTCAATTCGCATTCAACAGCGGGTGTCTCGCCACTTACAGAATGGAAACAAAAAACAGATACAAATAAACAGATACAAATAATTTAAATAGTCACAATGATAACAAAACTTACTCTAGTATATGTAAAATACATTTGATCTTTTTAAAGAAGATCAAATGTATTTTATGTTTAGATTTGGAAGATGGCCTGAGACTGCACTGTCATCTAACAACAGGAGAGATTATCCAGTGGGTAGGTTCAGGAACGTATGGATTGCACTGGAGATGTATGTAAAATGATAGAAAACAAATTAAGTTAACATTAATGTATAAAACATATCATCAGCTATAATATCTTCCTACTTTAAAGAACTGTCTTTATTTCCGTATTTACATACAAACACCAAGTTTTAATATAAACATTGCAATATTTATAGAGTAGGTAGTTTGTATTGTTGAGTACAGGTACTGTATTATAAACAAATAACTTCTGCTTGTTTTTGTATTTTTTGGTATTTATGCCGTAAAAATGTTGTGACCTTAGCCGCCGACCATTGTGGCGCTGAGGTGGTCGTCTCTGGAATCTCCATTTGTAAAATCCATTCCTGGGCCCCCTCTGTTTTAAATGGTTTCCTGAAGCAATTGCACATCTGATATGGTTGTCAATGGAATTAACAATGCAGTTCCAATTCATTATATATACCAATACAATATGCACAGTACTTTTCAATTGCATTTTTTTTTATCAAATTGTGTTTTTTATCTAAATCTGGAGGCATTTTTAATAACCTTGAGTTTCTATTATATTTTTTTTAATTTGAAAATCATTTCTTTAGTCTTGTTAGCATTAAATTAAGTAATTTTCCTTACTCCATACCTCAAAAACACATCCCTGTTTATGAAAAATATCTCATTTCATAGAAAAAAAATGTGCCTAGTCAATTTCAAATAAGTTGGTAAAGTTTGAATGTGAACTATTTCTGTTTGTTACTGACCTTGTCATACATTTTTCTGAACCCACTGCTAAACCCTTGACCTTTTACAGACCCCTGGATATTGAGAACTAATTCTCTAAACTTAGCACACATTCTTGCAGTCTATCCTTGAGCCAAGTGATCAGACTTCTGAGCACTAATATTAAAGCCAGGCTCCTGAGGAAGAAAAAATTGAAAAAACTTTGGTTTTGGTTTGGTTTCAATATAAAGCCATACTGTAAGCTACTTAGCCTAGTAAAAATGAGTGAAAAGTACAGTGTTTTGGAGATAACATGGTAATTACAGTAGTACTGTAATGAGCTTACAAGAGCTTCCTTCTATCTTGTGAATAATACAGATATTAGCTTACTTCTACCATGCTTCTACTCTTCAGGAAACTTAGCCTTCACAAATCTTTTTAAGAGACAGCAAGGGTAACAATGCTTTAGCTTTATGTGAACAATTACGGTACTATAGTCCATCACAACTAATGACCTTATGTTATTTATTTTTGAACTGGTTTTCTAAGACACTAAAAGTGTGTTTGGTGAAAAACGGTTAATGAGATAGATTTTTGAATATTTAAAAAGGGGTGGGTGGGGGGAGAAGGGGCATAACCACCCTTTTTCAACCAGTTTATAAATATTTAAAAAATCTATCTCATTAACTGTTCCTAAGTTTTTTCGTGAAACAGCTTTTCGTCTGTTAGAAAAATCAGTTGCACAACATACCAACAAATTTGTTTTCCCTCTGGAGCCTGACTTTAAAGTAATAAGTACTATCTCAAGTATTGCAGTATTTTATAACTGCACTTCAATACATTGTATTGTACGACCACCACTGTTAGTTCTCATACATAGATAAACTATACTGTACTATTTGTCATTAAATTAAGATCGAATACAAGTTCGAAGCTTCAGAAAGAATGTAGAGATTTTATGATGATCAAAAGATCCACATTGCATTCTGTAAATATGAATCTACTCTAATTTGGTTGTATTTTTTTTTTGTATTTTTACTTGATTTGTGGGAAAAATGATCAGTAATTGAATATTAATCAGTTTTTTAAAAACCAAAAGGTAAAAAAAATCTTGTTTCTCTTTTTTCCCCCTTGCTTTGTAGGCTTACACATCCCGTCACCCCTCAGTACTTGTGCTTGACCCGCTTGATAGCGTCGTACAGCTCATTGACCGGCCTAGCACATACAGCATTCTTCAGCAGACCCTTGGCTGCTTACAGGGTACGGTTACTTTCACGGGTCGTTCACAATTATCAAAATTTTTACAAGTGTACAAACAGTACGCGGGGCGGAGGCGGGGGTGGGTTAGAACATTTTGTACACTTTAATATATGCATGAAAATAGTTGATTTAAAATAACCTGAAATATTAAAAATAATTTCTTTTTATGACCAATTATAATGCAACCAGGATATAAAAAAACTTTTATTCAACCAAGTACGTTACTTTGAATGGAGAATGGTTTTGCAAAATCAATATTTTTTATGTACGCTTTTAGAGGTGGGTGTTGAAAAAGAGTACTGATTTTACACTTGCGAAAATGTTGACAATTGTGAACGACCCCTTAATATTGTTTTACAAATTCATTTATATGGATAATAAAATTTTATGTTTATAATACTGTTTTTAAACTCTTCTTCGCCAGATGTTGAAACGCCAACTTTTGTTGAATTAACTAAAGATGATTTGGATACGAATCTTACGCTGTTACGGGATGCTGGTGTTAGGTTTCCTTTTGGTAAGCAAGGAATTAATGACTTACGCATTATGACCTTTTTTATGTTGATAATTATTATATGCACCAATTTGCCTGCATTTTCAAGTTTAATTACATACCAGCATATTAAATAGCAGACTGTTTCTGACTATTAAAAGTGTTATATAAGATATAGGATTATTTTGACTTCTTAGATTAGAGTGCTGTGGGCAGTATAAGGTACAGTAGCTGATTTTTGTGAATAATGCGGTGTACGGTAAGAATGGCCCCGGAAAAAATGGCCCAGGAAATAATGGCCCCAGAAAAAATGGCCCCGGAAAAAATGGCCCCGGTAAAAATGGCCCCTAATGACAAGTAGGTAAAAATGGCCCCCAATATTAAAATTCTGTATAAAAACTGCTTTTTTTTTTGTATTTTTAAACTGAAATAATTCAATTTTTATAAAGAATCTAACTAAGATCAAGTAAGTTCATGATGAATAAAAAGAGTAGCCGCGTTAGTCTTATGTACAACAAGATAAAATGAATGAGAGCAGCATTTTTAAGACTAACAGAACAAAATTTGTTCTCGAGCTTTCATCCACACAGTGGACTTCTTCAGGAGACTGTATAAATGAGATAAAAAAAAACAGCTATAATATACAATAGAGATAATAGGGGAGGTCCTATAACAACAGAGTATGCAAATGTGTTGGATAAAGCACTATGGCTAGTCTGCCAGAAATAATCAATCCTAATAAACAAAATTAAAAGAACAAAAGACCCATGATAAGAAACTGTGGGAAATAGCATAAAACATGTTAAAGTCATTACATAAGAAAAAGCAATCGCATCTAATCAGATGTGAAATAAATAATATAAATAATATATCAAATCTATAAACTACAGTATTTATAAAAACCAAGAAATAAACTTGCACTGTGTGGATGAAAACTCGAGAATAAATTTTATTCTATTAGCCTTAAAAGTGCTGCTCTCATTCATTTTTTTATCAAGTAAATTGCCATTTCTATTTTGCTTTTTTGCACTTAGAAATAGAAATAACTTAATAAAAATTAATAATAATATTTTTTTTTAAAATAAAACATCAATTAAATTGCTATTTAGATTTCCTTTTTTGCAGTTAAATAATAGTAACATCTTAGTAAATTAAAAAAAAATAATAATTATAATAATACTAATAATGATTATTAACAACTTAAAAACAAAAATAATAATAGCAATAGAATAAAATTATTATAATGATAATTATTATTATTACTATTATTATTACTATTATTATTACTATTATTATTTATTATTATTATTATTATTATTATTGTTATTATTAAATTATTATTATTATTATTACATTAATTATTATAAAACAATATTGTTTCACAGAAGCAAAATCACAATTTTTCAGAAATTCAGTCTGGGTATTAGTAAACCCCCACAAACAATCCATTGTTTGTGGGTACTAGTAAACCCCCACAAACAATGGATTGATATGAACGTCAATTATTTTTAAGAGTCCTACAATCATATTAACAGGGTTTGAATGAGGTTCATGTTTGGAGGTTTATGGTGTATTTGCAAGTATTTTTTATTTAAAAAGTCAACATTTTAACAAAAAAAAAAGTGGGATTTACCAAATACCATTTAACCATACCATAATTACCCTACCCTCACAATTACACTCCATTTTAATTCTTAGCATAATTGCTATACAGTATTTACAAAAATAGAGTACTGACTTATATCTCAGTTAAATTGTGGCGACCAATAGTTTCTGACCCAGTAGTAGGAACTTGGATTTAGTTGGGGAATAACAAAATAAGTACGCAATTTTGTATGCGCACAAACTAAATTAATTGCTTATATTTTTGTATTCGTAATTATTCAGTTACTAAAATAAATAATTAAGAATACTTCTTTGAAGTAACCCTAGAAAGAACATATTGATGGTTTGTCTTGTACAGGTTAGTTTATCTTTGAGGCTGATTTTCTCAAAACGTGGTTCTTATACACCTAAACTTTAAATGCTCACATCTCTGGATTTACTTATAGTAGGGAAGCCATTCATAGACCAAATGAAAGCTTATAATGTGATCTACCTAACTATAACATAAACTCAATTTTTGAATTTCTAACCATGAGACTCATTTTGTGGACAGACCTCACATATTTGTTATTAGCAATCTCTTGCCTGTGAGTATAAATAAATTTTACAAAGTAAATATACAACAGAACTGCTCAAAATTCCTGTTGTAATGTAAGTTGAGTAAACATGCAATGCTTCAAATATAATTAATAAATGATTAATGTTGCTTTTCTTACAGATGTCTATAATATTCAATGAATCTGGTCTAAAAGACGTAAATCCACCTTGTGTTGCTCAAACATTCATCAATCACAATGCAGTTCTACACAAAATATTTATCCTGGGTGATAAACACTTCATTGTACAGCGACCCTCTCTAAAAAACTTTTCTGATAAAGGTTGGTATTGAGCTAAATAAAATATCTTTCCTCATTAGAATTTTTTTTTTCAAATTTTCAAATTCAGATATCTAAAAACATACTTTAGAGAAAACAAAACAACTGATACATTTTTGTTTGGTTCTTCTATCAATTCTGAAAAAAAGCATTACAAAATATGCCTTAAAAATATTTAAACTAATGCAAATCACCTCAAAACATTTTTTATCAAAAAATACACATATTAAATTTATCAGAAACATTGAAACCCAATTTTTGTCAAAACATCACTTCATATATATTTTTTGGAATATCTCAAATTGACCTGGCATACAACAATACTCATTCTGTCATCACACCACATATTCTTTTCAAGAAATTATATCATGAAGACACAGTGGGTCAAACCTTAAATATTTATGATATTTTGAATATTCTAGAGTTAAAAAATAAATTTAGTGCTACTAAAGCCAACATGAGTTGTTTATTTACCCTGTTTACTCTGACAATAAGAAAATTATTTCAGGTAAGTATGGCACAATAAATGGCCCTAAGTAATATATACATTGCAATGATAGCAAATGCTATGAGAATTAGGTCTAATAAATTGTCACATGTTATTGTCAATTGTGATGCTAGAGTGGTCATTGTTGAGTTCATTACAATGGTGCACAGGAATTAAGTATTAAAAATTCACAAATCAATATTTGACCTCATTGAATTACTAACGCCTGCAGACTGTCAACAGACTCTGTTAGGAACGTAATGAAAATAAAGTATGGCCGAGTGTGAAGTTCCTCTCAATTATGTAAATTATAATGGTCTGTTTCAATATATTAAAATTAATTATTTTAGTATATGACATGCCCTAACCATAATCAGTGACCAAAACCGGAAAATTAGTTTTTAATATAAAATTCATACTCTCCAAATTACAAGCATTAGAATTTTATGTCATTTACTGGAATTGACTTTCTATTGACAAAGTTGGCAAGCATCATTTGGTCTTCAATCACATTAATTTTCCTTGCCAATGTATAAATAAATATAACATTTCTGTTAAAGGCTGAATTTTGATAGTAAAATCAACCTGATATAAACATAAAATGTAGTGTAAATACAGCAAACTGTCCAAATATAATGCAGTGTAACAAAAACAACTAAACAAATTAGAATAGCACAAGGAAAATAGCATCCAGTCACAACAAGTTTAATTGAAGTAATAGAGCATGGAACTTATATTTAATTAATTCTTATTGATTCCGATTTGGGGCACACTTAACAATAATATTAACAGAGGGTAGAATGCTTTAAAAAAATATTGCTCATGAGGGTAGTGTTAATTTATATTATCTTTAGTTTGATTGATTGATGTTGTTGCTAAATCTTGTATTGATAAATATGATTCTTGAACAATGTTGTAAAGATCTTTTGGTTTTTTTTTTCTTTAATTTCCAGACTCAACCTTAGAAACAATCTTTTTTAATAGCCATGATGTGTCAAAACCAGACTCTGCGTCTTTTCTTAACAAGGTAAGCTTCCTTTTGGAAGCAGGTTTTTGTTATTGGCCAATTTTTCACCAGCCTCACCAGGGTTATTGATTTTAGACTAAGCAAAAATAAACTTTTGTTGCCCAACCCTAACCTACCCACGATCTTGCAATATTGGGTTAGGATTTTTTTCTCCATCAAAAATAATTTGCTTTTTTTTTTTTTTATCAAAGAGGAACCCAAAATACTTGTATACTGTACTGCCTAAAAAGGCCACTTTACAAGCGTTAATTAACATACGATACCAGTGGACGCACACCCCTCCAAAAATTACTGATATTTTGCAGCATATTTTTCTTATTAAGCCACCGTGTTTCATCTGATTTTAGCTTGATGCTAGTGATCGTAATTCTTCTGGTATAGCACCTTGTGAGAAGACAATAAACAAACTGGTAGAGAAGATATGTAGTCAATTAAATAGCACCCTCATCGGCATCGATATCATCATTGAAAACGAGACAGGTGTTCATTATATCATTGATGTTAATGCATTCCCAAGTAAGTATTTTTTCTTCATTCATTGTTCAACTAAACAAAATTTAAAGTTTGTTCTTACACTCAAAAATTCTAACATAACGAGAGTATGGGATTCATCACAGCCAACTATACACAGACAAAAATTGACATATTAAAATACAATATTATCATAATATACATGATAAGTTAAACATCACATAAATAGCGAGAAGATAGATATTTGTAACAGGGTATTATGTTCATTTCAATGGGAGATTGGAACTGTCTTATTTCACCTAATTTTATTTTATGCATGGAGATACCCATGGGCACAGACTACCGGGAGATAATTGTTATTAGAGTATAAAAACATGCAAATATCATGAATTTGCGGGAGATTCGTTGTTTTCCAGGAACTTCTTTATTGCTTACAGGAGTGCGGGAAGCCGTCCCAATTTTCAGGTTTCCCATGACTTGGAATTGGGGTCCCAGCACTTCAAGTCTATTCGTAAATGCTTTTAATGTACTAATTTTGATTTTCATTTCTTCTTGAAACTAGGTTATGAAGGTGTCCCAAATATTCTGCAGCTGTTAGCTAGTTACATTGTAGAGCAATTGTCTAGCTCCCCAAAAGGCGAACGACCGCAACATACGCAAGAAAATGGCTTCAGTAAGAAGTTAATTACCAATGCAAAGGGCATTATTAAAAATGGTCTATCTATAGACTCTAAGAAGAACGGTTTAACAACGGAAACCAGGAACCAAGAATTAGCAAACAGTCTTTCTATTGATTCCATGAACCAAACCAATGCTAGGAACCATAGTTTGGTAAACAGTCATATGACCACAGATACCAGGAACCAAGGTCTGGTAAATGGAGTTTATTTATGAGTTGGAACCACACACCATTCTTGGTAACAATTTGTATAATAGATTAATGGTACAGCTAGATTATTATTTAGCATTTTATTTGTTTGATAAAATTTTGCTAATTTTTTATGGTAATGCATTTAGCTTGGTAGTAATCTATCCCTCTTCCCTGCTAGTATATAAATAACCTCACCATATACTTGAAACTCCACCAGATATCCGCTATAATGGGAGAATTTTTTTTAAAGGTAGTAAAATATTTATGAATATATTTACCAAAAAATTACCAAATCTTGGTTTATTCATGCTACAAAATTGGAACTGTAAAATTTTCCATTTGCAAGTGTGTAGGGTTGTAGAAGATTGAGAAAGCATTAATTGCAAAAGTTGTGAATTCTGCAATTGATCAAAACATAACCCAAAGCTTTTGTCATATATCTGTTTTTGCTAAAGGCAATTTTTTTAAAAATAAAAGCTAGCTGTCAGTAGATAATGTTTTTACAACATTTTCAGGGTTGTAGCGCAAGCATTTTCTAAACATTTTTTTTTTCATCCCACAATATTGTTGTAACTATGGAGATCTTATTCAATATGTTTTACCTTGAAACTGTTTAAAAAAAAAATCACATTAGTAAATTCTTAGTCCCATAAAAATATTTTCACCGTCATATGAACATTCCTATTACCATGTATCTCCATTATCATAAAACTATCATCACCATGGCAATATTTTTACATCACCATAGAAACATTCTTATCACCATAGAGATATATTGTTATATAGAAACATTACTGTATAATGGAAAGATAGATATCATTTGTTGTTATATCTGTACATCACCCTACTGACCAAAAACCCATATGTAGGTGAAAGTTCCTTCATCTTAAATCCGAGGCATGTTTTAATATTGGTGATGTCATCTTGACTTTATAATGGTGCTTTCTTTCTCCACCTTAACAATGTGTATCTGTAAATATAATGTTTGTATTATGTTGCTGTTTATAATGTTATCATTTGTCTTTCTATCAGGGTTACTTGGATACAAGTTTGCTAATTCTAAAAATAAACACAAATATAATCTTTACAACAAAAAAACCTATCATTTTGTCCAATTTAGTTGAGATAATTTTAATAATTTCTAATACCTGATTCACACAAGACAAAATGTTATATGGTATGTATGGTATGCACAATCTGCAACATCGTAGAGGCCTGTAAAACTCAGCATTCAGCATAGCATAAATCTGTTTGCATATTTCGGTTTTGAATAACTAGGTGTTTCGCTTGGCGGTATAACCAGTCTTCAAAGCGTAAATTCATCCTTCCTGTCCTGCCTCTTCTCTAAACTGCACGGCAGTAAAAAGGTACAAATCAGAATATTGCAATATTTTGCTTTGAAATTTTGTGTTAATAGTGAGTTGTCTTATTTTATGATTTGTTGTCAGGTAGAATCTGTACATTTATAAAGTGTAGTTTATCATCCAGTCTATCTTTACTGTCCAACTTTCAGCAATGTTACTGTTGTGTGGAGACAACAAGTTTGTCTTATGTGAAGCAGGTATAAGTTTCTGTTTCAAGAAGAATACACCATATAATATTGGTGCATTATTTACATGTTTGTGAAATGTAGAATCTGTGGCCAGTGGCGTATGTAGAAGTCTTGAAATGGGGGTGCTGATAGAGGGCGCGATGGTGAAGTAGGGGGCTTGATGATCAGTTGAGGGGCACTAATTCGCAAAATAAGGTTAGTTTTAACTACTTGACCATTATATTTGGTGGGACAACTGGGGAGCGCGAGTAATTTTTGGAGGGACGTGTCCACACCTAGATCCGTCTCTGGCGGTAGCGCACCAGTTGTGGCTTGGAATCTCAACCTTGAGGTGAGGTGTTCAAAATTCTCGCTGTGCAAGTTGCTTGTGTCCATGAGCAAGGCACTTTATGTAGGTATATCTCTCTCTACTCAGAAGTATAAATGGGTACCTGGTAGGATATTGTGGCATTGAATGTACTAGTTTTGTGCGCTGAGTACAAGTGCAAGACTAGGTATACTCCCCAGGAAGCAGAGAAGGTTGCATTTTGTGCTGGTTTGCCATAGCATGTTTTCCAGTGACTAGGGGTAAAAACACTCAGCGCCTTTGATCATTTAATTTAGAATGTGCTCTATATAAATGTTTGGCATTATTATTAAATAAGACGTTTCTCCATTGCTACCTATCTGCCACCATGATCAAGGTTACGTTTAATATTTTTTACAAATTTTCCATACTACTACAGTGCATGCTTCAATTCTCTCTTTAGTATTTGGGGGGGGGGGAATTTACCTGTTTATATTTTAACATGATTTTCAAGAGCCCAAGATATAGGATTTAGACAGCTGATTAAAATGTTTAAAGTAAATTATTGTACAGTAGTGAAAATACAGTAGATGAGAGGTGAGGTGGGGATTTCATTCTAATATTTATCAATTTATTAAGGGTTTAAGATCAATTCTCATCTGTTTTATAATGTAGTGCATATGCTTTTACTTGCTTGACTTTCAAAAGCAGATTATAAAAATAATATTTCCTCACATTAGATATCATTAGGGTAACCTTATATTTGATTTTTTAATTTTTTTAAATGAAATTTGTTTTAAGTAACTTCTTTGATACAGATGAAATAGCCTAATGTTTTAAAATTGGTATTGCCTTTGACTATTTTTTTACACTATTTATTTATTATTCATCTATTGTATTAGGCATGTACTTTTAAGAAACAATGAATTTTAGACCTAGACTAATTGCAATTACCCCCTTAAACCCTCCATCTTGATGCTATCACCTAAATTTCTATGTCTTTGTGTTCCATATAATTTTCTCATTGGGTGATCAAGGATCACAGGTGGTGTTGACTCATTATGTGTGGAGGCAATATATTTCAGATATGGTACCTTAACATTATGACTTATTAAACAAAGGGTATTTGAATACCACTACAGATTAGGTATTATGACTTATAGTTGACATATCTGTAAGATTTATTTTGTTAATATTCAAATGTTTTAACTGTTATAATACAGTAGTACAATACTGTATTTACAAATTTCATTTGTTTGGTTTCCAACATTGTTTTTAACACTGCCTGTTTTTTGTTATCTTAGCTCAGGATGCTAATCGTATATGTTATTGTTTTCAATAAAAGAACATGTTTGTTTGCATATACAGTATTGTTGGCTTATTACTGTACCTTCTCAACCAAGAAGCAAAATAATAAATGTATACCACGATAAAACACAACATAGGAACAGATATTTCAGACCATAAACTTTTTAATACTGCCAGTTATATGGATGATTTCAGTATTGTTTAGACCCTACCTAATATATGTAGCAATACACAATTCACCTTTTAAAAATACTAATTTAAAATTACTTCAACCAGATCTATTTCTATAAAATCTTTTTACAAATTGTATTTTATCAGTAATTCAATTGAATTTTTCATCAAAATTTACCTAAAATGCATATAAAAATACTATTTAAGATTATAAAACTTTAAGACGTCTTCATCTTAGTGGTTATATTAAAAACACTGTATTCGTGAAAACATAACCAGCATGCATCATTTATACAAAACTTGCGCAGTGCCTACTGTAGTTGATAAATTCCAACACTCATGTCTTCAGGAGATCAGAGAATTTTTCGACAGCAAGAATAACTTTATTGTTAATGACTGGTGGGGCGTAGGAGCAGATAATGGAGCCAGTTGGAACCCTGCAGATGACAAGGCCAGCCTCACTGCTTTTGGCATACAAACTATCAAAGGAAGAGAGATAAAATAAAACCTTCACAAGAATTTGAATGTCTTCAAGAAACAATTACATACAGTAGCTCTGCATGAAAAAGTACATTAGGTTAAAAAAAAGGAGCAAACTCCTAGATTTTCAACATTTTGGGTCAGTCAGAAAGTTGACACAATTTTTTTTTATTTGGCTTATGAAAATGCCACTCAAATTTAACAAGTTGACTGCCAGATCTTTTTTTAGGTTTTTTACCGTGTGCCAAAATTACAAACATACTTTCTTACATACTCATCGAAATGGTGTCTAATAAATTGGCAGTACAACATTAGGGGACAAGTAAATTCGTTGCTGGCAATGAGGCAGTACTTTCTATAGCCTTTGCCAAGCATGAGGTCTCTCATCAGCTTTTTGCCTTGGTTGGTATATGTTCAGAGGGTGCCCCCACTTATGCAATATTTTGTACTGCCGGCAACATAACACAACAAACATACATTATTTGAACATTATTGTCTCGGTGCATCTTCCCCAAACTATAGGCTGTTCAGATCTGCAGTTTTACAATGTATAATAATGAAGTAATAAACACTAGAATGTTACCACGGTTTTGACGAGTATAGTCGTCCCTAGAGCCCTCAGCAAACACCCTGTGGGACATAAACTCGTCTCTGGCAGCGAATGGGTTAAGGCGATAAACAAGACAATGAATAATACACTACCTGCTGGGTGTGTTGTTGTAAACATAAAACATGGTTTTACTACTACCAGCGCCATTGACAGCCAACTCAAATTTATCAAATTGCAATTCCTGTCTGGAGCTCTTAATGATACCATGCAGTTGCT